CCCACTAAGCTCTGGACTAGCACCCCAGGAGCCGCGGTGTTTTGTTCTTGCCCTTTCCTCAGGCGCAACGATAGCCGCGCTATTTCAGCCGTCGTCTCGGTCGTGCCACGTTGGAGCGAAACAAACTCTCCCGGCCAAGTGCAGCGAACGACCACAGAAGGCTGTATGTTCTGCACGGTAGCTCGTTCATCTGCCTGACTGGTACTGTATATTATACTTGCTGATGTACTGTACTGTCAACCTTGGTGCCCCACCAGATTCTGTGAGCTCACCACGATTGTTATGTGAGTTGCGTGCAAGCCTCTGCCGACACGCTCCCAGCCGAATCACCGCCGAAAAAAAAACCCTCCCCTCCTCTCCCCTCCCGCCCCCTCCCCTCCATCCCCTCTCCTCCCCCCTCCCGACACCCTCGCCCGCGCCTCCCTCTCGCCAAGCCCCTCCCCCGCTGTCCGTCCGGCGGGCCTCGCGGTGGTGGTGGCGGTGCTGGTTGATGACGGTCGGCACGTGGATGATCTCCTCGATGATCTGCGGGCGCGCGGGGAAGGGCCCCTCTCCACTGGGATGATCGCGGAGGGTTGCTGAGGGGATGGTTCGGCGGCAACTCTTGGAGGCCTAGAACTGGGCGCCAGCACCAACAACGAGGGTTGCTTCCACGAGGGAAAGGTGGTCCTAGATTTTGGTGTTGGTGGTAATCGTTCGGCCACCTTGGAAGCCCGAATCTTACCAGCATCACCGAGATCAGGATCATCTTTCCTCGGTTGGGGCACACCGCCGCTATTGGTGCTGGTGTCAACCTCAAGGCCTCCGAAACTCACGGGAGCCTCCCGTGCCATCTTGCCGGCTCTTGCGAATTAACGCATCTCGACGCTAAATGGACGCCAATCGACGCTATAACGACTCTAAATCTTCGCTATCTCATCGACTCCCAGACGCTAATCGACGCTAAAAACGTAATTACGACGGTAAACAAGGCTCCCGTGATTTGCTACCGAAGTATGAGAGATAAAAAACCTGGCTTATACAGGGGTTAGACATGCAGCAAACGGCTTAAAGGGTGCTAGATAACTCTGCTGTGTGGGCTGAGCTCATTGAGCCTAGAGTGCGAACCCCAAGCCACTTGGTGCAACGAGAACCAACATATGAGCCAGGCTGGGCCAGATATAACCACCTCGGGTGCCACCCCCTCCCCTTAGCAACCACCACGGTCATCCCAGCAGATCTGGGAGCCGCAAATCGAGTGACGGCACATGTTTGCCTTGCACCTTGGGCTCCAATGAACAGCGACAAAGCTGAAGGTCCTAGGATGGCACGGCAAGGCCGCCCAGGAGGCCCCAAACTGCCCCAACCCGTCGGTCGTGGTGACTTTGTTCGCAGCGCGAGGTCTCTGCGAGAACGATTGAAGCTACTAGGATAAATTAGCTTGCCATCAAACCGAAGCAGGGCGAAATTGAGCACGGGATTCAGCCACAATTAGCGGGATCAAGCGGAACTTTCTTGGGGTACGCCAGAGTTTGCCAGTGTCCGACCATGGATTCACCAACGCTCATGCTGACTTCAAACTCCCCCAGGACTTGCATCGGTCTGGGTCGTCCTCGTCGCCGTGCTTCTTCTCCGTTTCCTCTACGGGGCCCACTGCCTCGCGAAGGCCGCACGCGATCCCCGCGAGCCCTCGCCTGCGGGACGGGCACGTCCACGATCTGCTGCACGGACCGGTGCTGGACGCGCCTCTGCTGGATAATCTTCGGCACCTCCCGCGACGCCGCAGTCGTCACCGACGCCGCGGCCGCCGTCGTCGTCCCCTGAGACTCGAGAAGCAAAAACAGGGCTGGACCTAAACGTTGTGTGTGTTCGTTTTGTTTTCGTGTTGCTTTTCGTTCTGCTCTACCTGTTTTCCTGTACCTCCCTGTCAAAACGAGAAACGAAACACAGCCGAAGTCTAGCAAAACAGTGCTTAGGTCCAGCCCTCCTGGCAAACAACGGCATCAACAGAAAGTTTCTGAGGTCCAGCGGAGCCCCCCTGGCGCTGCCTCGGGCCCCTCTCTCTGGCGCGCTCTGCGCGGCAGAGGGGGGGCCCAGCGCCGATCCAAGAAATCCGCGCGGACCTCCGAAATACAGTGTTTATAAAACCGTTTGCTCCTCGACCCTCGCTCTCCTCCTCATCCTCCTCGTCGCAATCCTCCTTGCCTTCCTTCTCCTCTTCCTCCTCCTCCTCTGTTTATACAGCTGGTTCCTCTTCGAAAGATATTGAGGCCGCCTTGTTCAACACGGTGCGCTTCCGCCCAGATTCGACCAGATTCGAGCACTGGCGTCTCCACGGACCCACCTGGCTCGAGAAGTGCTGCGGGAAGAGGGCATGTCGGGTACTGTGGCCATGAATTTTGAAGTTGTTGTCGTGAACTTCCGCGCGACGTACTCTCAGGGTCGTCACACGCTGCGGGAATATCTTCACGCGCGCTCAGCCTTAGGGGAACACAGAATGGCACCAACACAAACTTTCGGAGGTCAGCGCAAATTCTCTGGATCGGCGCTGGAGTTCTCACTCTGGTGCGCGGAGCGCGCCAGGGGCGGCGCCGGATGCGGCACCAAGGGTGTTCCAGCGCCGATCCGACGACTCCGCGAGGACCTCCGAAATTTTTATACTCATGCCATTTCGGGGAAACGTAGGACTCGGGTACGGGGGACTCGGGTTGGCCTGACGGTGCCATCATGAAAATGGCGAGACCCAATCTGAGATTTGACGCGAACTCCCTCTGCAAACATCCCACGAAAACTGGACCGTCAAAATCCAGGACGCGCTCGTCAAAAAAAGACGGCAAACCCGAGTTCCGGCTTACTCGAGTCTTACGTTTCCCCGATCATTGCTTGTGCCACTCAACCTTGCTTGTAGCACCAATAGGCCTGCGGGTGGGCCTGCTGGAGGCCTCTGGATGCTTCCTGAAGGCCTGTACCGGCAGCGTCAGGCAAGACATGCCGTCATGAACAAATGTGGGCCTCTACGTACAGGTGGAGGCCCACTTCGCGAACTGGGGCAACAAAAGTTGTTCGGCACGAAAGGCAAGACTCGTCGCTCTCATCCTCTCGTCCTCCTCTTCCTCCTTCTCCTCCTCGCTCAGCTTCTCTCCTCTCTCCCCTCCTCCTCCTCCTTTTTCTCCTCCTCCTGCTCCTCCCACCGCTCTTCTCCTTGGCAGCCGCAAGCCCGCGAGTACAAGCCAATGAGTTCGCGCATAACATCTCCTGCCCAAGCGCTGGCAGGCGTACGGCTGCTGCACTGGCCCGAAAGGCCTGTCCCCAAGGCCAGTTCGTCGCAGTTCGAGGCCGAGGTAAAAATGGCGTTCGCAGATGTTCGCAGGCCGCGGGCTACGAGCAGGACTTCTGAGCTCAACAACGCATGCAATTTTCCACCGCCCGCGTGATTGTACTCTCTGCCCACGTCCAGGCCTTGCTTTTGCTGGGCCACTCTCGGACCATGCGATTCGACCGAGCCTTGCTTGCCAAGGCTAGGGTCGAAAGCACCCTGGGGTTCAGATCGTAGTGAAACGGTCGTGACGTTCTTGTCTTGGGGAGGGGGGGAGTGGGACTCCCGCGCACCCTCGGGGGGGACGTGCTGGGTGAAAGGCTGCTCCTTCCCAATCTGGGAGATGAGAAGGAGGGGCGACTCGACGACATCGACAACGGCGGGAAATTCAGGTGGCAGGCGGGGGAGGGAGGAGCAGGAGGAGCAGGACCAGGATGCGGGGGAGGAGATACGAGGTAGGATGAAGGATGATGAGGAGGAGGACGAGGAGGAGGAGGCAGGAGGAGGCACCCGAATCTCGGGGGCAAATTGCTGGCGGGGCGGCGCGGAGTGTTGGATGGTGTGGGGTCACTGTGCTCAGCCTGGCCGAATCCAGCATGGCCGAGCTGTTCCTGGCCGAGTTTGGTTGCTGCCTTGTGCGCCGACTCCTGGGCCACCGCTGAGCTGGCACTACACGCGTCCCCTGCGCAGTCGTAGAGGCGCCCCCGGTGCCGACGACGGCCAAGGGCCCGCCTCCCCTTCCTCTGCTCTGCGCGGGCACGATGCTGTGCTGGTCTGACGGGCCCCTGCCTCCAGCTGCCAGCAATGCCACACACAGTGACGCATCCCAGGGAACAAGACAGCCTGGCCCAAGTCTACCGGGCACGACTGAAATGCCCGAATCCACGGCGTCGTGGTCGTGGAGCTTCCCTGGAAGGGGCGCCACGAGGCAGAGGCGCAGCGGGTGTGCAGAAAGACCTGGCCTCCTGGTGCCCGATGCCTACCCAGATCTCCGCTGCGCCTCGGGCGTCCGGGGAGGGGAGCCCGAAACTCCACGACGCCGCGACGCAGTGGATGTGGACATGCGTCGCGCCCGCGCTTTGAACTCGGGGACGGGCCGCGCTCCTGCTCCAGCCGGCGGGCCGACCCGGAGCAAACCGGGTCAGGTGGCAGGGTCACGGCAAGCGCAGGGTGCCAGCGCTGCGAACACGGATGGCCGGGCCGGGAGCTTGAGATAGACCACCCCCCCCCTAGCACAGTCCCACCCGCCCAGATCCCGAGAGCCACTGACCTAAGCGCTCCCCGGGCTTCACACCGAGGGGGATCTCTCGCCATCCCTCGGACGTCCACTCCCCAGTGCACGCGTCGATGTCGTGCGGAGCTTTCGCAGGACGGTCCAGGATGCTCCTTCGATGGCCCTCGCCGAGGACAAGACAGCACGCGCCGGAGCGATGCCGAGGCAACGCGAGGGCGGTCCTCCTCCTCCGCCTCCTCCGCCTCCTCCGCCTCCTCCGCCTCCTCCGCCTCCGCCTCCTCCTCCGCCTCCTCCTCCTCCTCCTCCTCCTCCTCCTCCTCCTCCTCCTCCTCCTCCTCCCTCCCCTCCCTCTCCCCTCCCTCCTCCGCCTCCGCCGCCTCCGCCTCCTCCGCCTCCTCCTCCTCCTCCTCTCCCTCCCCCGGCGGGGGCAGGACGCCGGGCGACGGGACCACGGGCGCTCCAAGAGGCGGCCGGCCTCCACGATCTGCTCCACGAGCTGCTCCACCACCTCCTGGATCACCTGGGGCACCTCCTGGACCCGCCGCGCCCCCCCGCGAGGGGCGTCTCGCCGTGCCTGTGGATGAGAGAGGAGGGCGGGGGGGGGGAACTGAAGGAGGGAAGGAGGGAGGGGAAGGGAGGAGGAGGAGGAGGAGGAGGAGGAGGAGGAGGAGGAGGAGGAGGAGGAGGAGAGGGAGCGAGGGAGGGGAGAGAGGATGAGAAGGAGGAGAGGAGGAGGAGGAGGAGGAGGAGGAGGAGGAGGAGGAGGATAACAGAACGAGGGAGGGGGAGAGAGGATGAGGTGGAGCGGAGGAGGGTGAGGAGGAGGGTGAGGAGGAGGAGGAGGAGGAGGAGGAGGCGGAGAAGACGAGGGAAGGGGAGAGAGAAGAAGAAGGAAGAAACGAGAGAGGGGGAGCGAGGGGAGGAGAAGGAAGAGTAGGAGAAGGAGGAAAAAAAGGAGGAGGAGGAGGTTGGTTTGGGGTCACCTTCCGTGGGGGAGGCCTTGGCTTTGGGATCGCCGTCTTTGTGTGGCTCTCGGGGTTCGGGGGCTCCTTGCCGCAAGGATTTGATGATGGCGTCGGTTACAATACCAGAGTCTCACATACTATTGCTGCATACCTGAACCTCCCCACTCCCCTCCACCCACCTCGCGCACTCCGTCGTCCGTCTGTCCCCCGTCGTCTCCGTCCGCGTGTCGCGCCCGCCGTCTGTGGTCCCTGCCGCTGGCCTCCCCTTTCGCTGATCAAGTTGAAAACCAAACCCCCGACGTCATGACTTTTTCATAACGTCGACCCTCAGAAGTCTCGACCCATTCCCCTGGACCGGCCTTCCATCCTGAGCCGTTTTTTGACGTTCCCGAGGGCCGGTAAGGGCCTCCAGAGGCCGAAAATTGAGACAAACTTCCCGTGTTTTTTCATTACACGAGAGAATCTGGGAATGCGGACCGTCTCGCGTCAGCGACGTCCGCACCGCCGCCCCCCCGCGTCCCGAGGCCTCTTCTGTGTGGGGGGAGGGGGCGCCGGCGGAAGTGGCGATCGGGCCCCGCCGGATGATCTCCACGGTCTGCACCTCGGGGATCTCCTGTTGGGCGCGGGGAGGATGAAGAGGGGAGGGGGAGGAGGTGGAGGAGGAGGAGGAGGAGGAGGAGGAGGAGGAGGAGGAGGAGGAGGGGGAGGAGGATGAGGGGGAGGAGGAGTAGGAGGAGGGGTAGGAGGAGGAGGAGGAGGAGGAGGAGGAGGAGGAGGAGGAGGCGGAGGAGGCGGGAGAAGAAGAGGGGGAGGCGGTTGGAGGCCCCGAGGCGCTGTCTCTGACATCCTCGGAACCCCACGCAACATATGTGTCTTGTAAAGTTGTTCGTGCAAAGTCGGTTAACAACACACAATCCAGATACATGATTGGTGAGCAGATTAGCAGAAGCGGCCTTTCAGAAAACGAAGATCTGCCAAAACTGACTACGCATGGTTTTCATGTGGACAATATGTGGGGCTCGTTCGCCACATAAGCAATAGAACACACAACAGCCTAGACTGCCAACTTGGGAAACTTCACGCTACTCCTAGACGTTGGCAAGTTAACGCTCCCTGCAAAACGACTTGCGTAAAACCGGGCAATGTCGAAACTGCGTTGAGGTCCAGGTCGCAAGCGGTTGATGAGTCGCTTTGCAGACAGCCCATGCGTCTCAGTATCACAACACTTTCCACTCAGGTGCAGTGTCTGATCGACCTTGCGAAAGCGGCAACGACACAGGCGTCATCGAACAGCTGTTCGACACCATACGTACCGAAGAAGAGAAGGTCGCCCAGCTCCATCACGTAATGCTGTCGTGGATTGGTTTGCTGATCACAACGAACACCAAGACAATGCCGTCATCAAACATACGACTCCAGTGGCCTCCCTAACCTACCCCTCCTTCCTGGCCCACCCTCTTCTCCAGTCCTTTCTTCTTTCCCCGCCCCTCCCTTGTGGACTGGGTGCGGGCGTGTGCGTGTTGGAGAGCAGTGGTGGGGAGTAATCGGGGAGGGCATTGCTCATCGGCCAGTCGCGTAGATAGCCACCAGCCGCCAGAGCCATTGCGACAAACCCGCTGCTTTTGCAACCACATTCGGCCCCACCTTTTCCCATCATCCGCTTCTTCCCTCCTTGCCCTGATCTCGGCCGCCTCGCATTCGTCACGACGGCCTGAGCATCAGGTCGCGCTGCCCAGCCACCAAGCAGAGGAGGAGGAGGAGGAGGAAGAGAATAAGAAGGGAGCAGGAGGACGAGTGGGAGGAGGAGGGGGAGGAGAGGGAGAAGGAGGAGGAGGAAGTTGAGGAGGAGGAGGAGGAGGAGGAGGAGGAGGAGGATAGGCATGGACCAACGTGGAGGAGGACTAACAACATGAGCAGGACCTTCGGCGAGGAAAGCCTTTCGCGTTATCTACTGGCCGCCGTGAGATACATTTACGCTGCATCTCCAGCGCTGCCCGTCCACGAATGGACAATCAGATTCCGAGCGAGTCGACCGCTGCGAGCGTGTGGACCACCAGGGCAGCAGGGCCGAGGAGGGATCTTGTGGCAGGGGGAGGGGACTTGTGCAGAGGACAACCGGATGTGGAAGAGTTCCAAAGACTCGTCTCTCCAGCAGCTGAGCCAGGCATAACACGAGTGTCGCCACGATCTGTTCTTGGGGCGCCCAGAGGATGAGAGCCAGCTCTTGTGCCCAAAGTTGGTGTAGGAGGTGGGGGAGGGACTTTGGATGATTCGGTAGCGGAGGCGGAAGAAATACTACAATCTTGACACTCCGTGAGGACAGCCTTCCGCGCTTTCGATGTTGTGCCAGAGGAGGTGGAGATGAGAAGTTTACTTCTCCTGAGAGGAGGCGGTGACGATCCTAGTAGGATGATGCCTGTCACGGGGGTGACGGAGCTACTTCGAGTGTCGCCGATGCCACATCCTATAAAGACCTAGTTTGCACCAGAGTCCCCACCAACGTCAGAAAGCCAGCCATAGAGAGAGAGCAGACGACACAGCACTTCTTCGTTGCGCACAGCGCCTCTTCAAGCAGAACATCGTTTCCTGGACTCTGGTGCTTACCCACGGTGAGGGTCCCTGTATATTGGGGCAGGTGGAGGTTTAGATGCTTGGAGGAGGATATGGATGAGGAACACGAACTCTGCATATCTGCTCGGTGCCATGCTTTCACATTTAAATAACAGGGATTACCAAGAGCATTTGAGCACAGCACGTTAAAAGGTTCTGGTTCGTAGTAAGTCAGGTCTCTCTCATGGGGGGTGGCGGTGTGGTGCGGAGGTGGAGCAGAAGGCGGAGGATGATGCCACTAGTCACGCCGTTGCACGTGATCTGATATTACATCGCCCTCGGTTGGGGCACTGTTTCTGCGTACATTGCACAAGCGCACGTACGCCGATCCAGCAGCATCCTGTTAGCCAATGACGCCAGGTCGACGGGCATCGTTACATAGGTCCACGATCGAGCCCAGGGTATCGTAACATTGGCCCTGTGTACTGTAGGCCCTCGCCAAGGGCCACATTTGCTAGTGGGGAAGGTCGTGCTTGAGGATGCTGCTGGGGAGGGGTGGGAGGGGAATACCTTGCGGACGCCTGCAGATCGAATACTCTGCCCTCGAGGGCTTTTCCTCTTGTCTGTGCATTTTTTGCACCCCCTGCTCCGCTGGGTCTGCATTCAGGTGATGTTACTGACTGCCGCACTCTCTGATCTTTCCCTTGCTGAGAAGATCGGGGGTTGGGCTGTGGGGAGCTCCTTGGAAATCCTGGGGACATCCTGGGCCAGGAGCACTTCCATCGGCGGCGAGCCAGGGGGGGGGGAAGTGGGAAAGGGCGGGCCTTCTCAGAAGGCTCGGAAATCCCCTGGCCTTCTGAGAAGTCTTCTGAGCCTTCCACCGAGACACGGAGAACCCCTCAGAAGGCGCGAGGGCTTCTGAGGAGTCCCGCCGCCTTCTGACAAGGCCTTCTCCTCCTCGCTTCTCCCCCCCTCGCTCGGTGCCACGAGGACCCCCTTCTGGGGGCACCGCACATAGGGGGGGGAGGATGAGGAGGGCGAACGGGCGAGGGAGGAGGGACGGACACGGGGGGGGGAGGGAGAGCGGTGAGGAGAGGGGGGATGAGGGAGGGGGAAGAGGGCAAGTCACGGGAGGCTCCCATACCATCCTGCTGACTCCTGCGCATTGACGCGAATTGACGCTAGATCAACGCTATCTCATCGATTACCGGACGCTCGTAAGCGCAAGTGCACTCTAAAGTCAGCATGACGGGGATACAATCAGCTCCCATGATTTGCTGCCGAACGAGGGGAGGAGGGAGGAGGCAGGGATGGAGGGAGGGGGAGGTGCGTAGGCGCGCGCAACGATGGAATGGGTCGGTGCCGTCCTCGACTCTGGAAATGCGCAGGACGGAGGGGGGAAGGGGGTTTGAGCGATGCAGGAGGGAGGAGGGCGAAGAGACGAGGGGGGAGGCCAGAGACGGCGGCAGGAGCCGGTCGAGGAGTGTGGGGAGGACGGCTGAGCAGGGGTGGAGACGGGGGAGGATGTGGGGGGGCGGCTGGAGCGGAGCAGCACGAGGGAAGCAGGGATAAGGAAAGGCATCGGCTGCACGCCGCGGAGCGGGTGCGTTTTGCCCAGGCGGCACCCCGCCCGAAGCTCGGGGGGGGAGGAGGCGGGGCGGGGCGGGGCGGAGCGCAGAGGGGGCACCGGGAGGGCGGCGGCAGGGCCAAGGGAGGAGGGCGAGGGCGACGGGGGGGCTCGCCTCCTCCTCCTTCTCTCCTCCTTCCTCCTCCTCCTCCTCCTCCTCCTCCTCTCCTCCTCCTCCTCTCCTCCCTGCATCCTCCTCTCCTCTTCTCACCTCCTCCTTCTCCTCACCCTCCTCCTTCTCATCACCATCTTCCCTGCTCCTCCTGCTCATCCTGCTCCTCCTCCTCCTCCTCCTCCTCCTCCTCCTCTCTCCTCCTCCCTCTCTTCTCCTCCCTCCTCCTCCTCCTCCTCCTCCTCCTCCTCCCTCCTCCTCCTCCTCCTCCTCCTCCTCCTCCTCCTCCTCCGCCTCCTCCGCCTCCTCCTCCTTCGCCGGGGGCACCCGTACCTGGCTGGCGGCATTCTCGAAAGACGGGGGGGGATTCTTCTTGCCTATTACAGAGCCATTATGACTCCACTGGACGAGTCAAATTGAGATTCCCGCCCCTCTGGAAGCCCACCAGCACGTGCCACCGATAAAAGAGAACTGGCCACACGCCAGATGGAGAATTCACCACCACCACCACCACCACACCAGCGTCATCATCATGACTGATGGTGATGGTGAAGATGATGGTGATGGTGATGGTGACAATGATCATGATGACGACAATGATGATGATGTGGATGACGATGATGATGATGATGATGATGATGATGATGATGATGATGATGATGATGATGAACGCCATGATGCTGTTGATGACGATGATGATGGTGATGATGATGTGGTGATGATGATGACGTTTGTGATGATGATGATTCTGATTATGATGATGAGGATGATGATGATGATGCTGATGATGATGATGATGATGATGATGATGATGGCGGCAGTCATTACCCTTCCTATTCCGCCCCTTACTCCTCGAAATGCGGCTAAAGGTACAAACGCGCACAACTGTGCGGCATGCTCCGTCCTGGATGATCTCCTCCTCCGTGATGGTCGGGATCTCCACGATCTGCTGCTGCACCTGCCCGTGCCCCAGTGTCTGAGGCAAGCTAAGCCAGCGCATTACGGCATAACCAGCATGTTTAGGTCCATCATGCTCCCCTACAGGCGGATGTTGGACGAACCAAAAACTGTCAAACAATATTCAAACATAGTCAACAATAGTAGAACAAATCGCACCAACACTTTTTACTACTTCCCAGCCATCCTGTGTGTTGCAGCGCCGAGCCCCTCCTCCTCCTGCTCCTCCTCCTCCTCCACATCTACTCTCCTCCTCTTCCTCACCCACACGTTTCGTGGCCCCACAGGAGCTCCACCGAAGGCCCCTGTGGCAGGGCCCGCATGCATACTCGGGTCCATTTCGGCACACCCCTCACACGTTTTCGACACCCCCCCAACGAGTTCTTGTGCATTGAGCGGTCTTGCTGATATTTTCCACGCGTGTGGGACGGGTCGGGTTCTTCGCCAGGGTAGTTTTGAGTATTCCTCCTGTCAAGGGACAGGCCCGACTTAAAATTAGCCAGCGCAGAGCGGCATAATCAGTACGCTTCGTCGCCATCGGGGAGGCCTGTCCCAGGGCAGCTGGGAAGCTCACATACCCTTGCCATGGCGGGTGGGGCTGCAAACTGAGCAGCCGCCCTGGGACAGGCGCCCCCGAGCGAGGAGCAGCTGATCGTATACACCCGACACCCTTCTGCGCCCGCTGGGCAAGAGGAGGAGCGGGGTACGGGGCGGGCCAGAGAGGGGGAGGAAGGGGCCAGAGGGGGGGGGCTGGGGGCCGAAGGGAGGCGCAGGCTGGCAGGCAGGAGCGGGGGAGGGCGCAAGAGCGGGAGGGTGGAGCGGGGAGAGCGGAGGAGGAGACGGGAGGGAAGGGAAGGGAGGGTGGGGGCAGGAAGGACTGTCAAGATGGACTGTCGCAAAATAGGCACGCCCCTCGAGGCTTTGACCACCCCGCCACGAGCGCCACCTCCCCGAAGGGCCTGTGGGCCAGAACGGCGGGGACAGCGAGCTTGGGCCCTCCCCTGCTGCAAGTCCGGGCCTCCAGGCCCCCCAGTCTCCCCGGAGGGCCTGGCGGTAATGCCGGGAATGGGCGCTTCTTGGCTCCAGCTCGGCTGCACGCAAGAGTGACCGTAGGCAAGAGTAACCTTTCGTACGCGACTTCTGGGGGGCGCGATGTGGGCCACATCCAAGCGCGCAAGCCGCCTTTATCGCATCGCATTCAGCGGTCGGGGGGCCCGCGTAGGCCCGCACCGAAGGTCACTCTGGCGAAGGTTACTCTTACGTGTAGTCGACCAGTGGGAGCGTCGCAGGTACACACCTAGAGGCCTCTTAGATGTGGTCCGAGCGGATATGGTCGGAGGATCGCGCGGCCTCGTCGATGCATCGGCGGTGCATCGGCGATACATCGGCGATACATCGGCGATGCATCGGCGACGCCAGCGATGCACCGGCGCCATCGGCGTGGAGACACTTGCGCTCCAAATCGGACCGCATCGTCGAAGCATCGGCGATGCGGAGCGATCCGTGGACCGCTCGGACCTCTTCTGGGACGCCTCCGCATGCCTCCGAGGAGAGGCTGGGCCAAGTGCGAGCGCCCGGAGCTGAGGGCGGAGATTCCAAGCCTCCGACGGAGTGAATCTCCCAGCGGGTGGCTGCACGGACCTCCTGGCCCCTTTTGAGAGACCGGCCTCTTGACCCCACATCTCGGGAGAAAGAAGCTGCGCAAGCGTACACTTCCGACGGTCCGCGCGGACTTCTCGGATCTGCGCTGGCCCCCCCTGCCTGGCGCACGGAGCGCGCCAGGGGCGGCGCCGGAGGCTTATGGCGCGTGGCAGCCACGTGCTGAGCAATCCGCCGACCCTTTCGGCGTGTGAGAGGGGCTTGTCTGTTCGAGTCGCCGTCTCCGACAGTCGTCGTCTGTCGTCCCCTTTCCCTGCACGCTCCTCAATTTTGCCAGCGAGAGAAAAATAAACCCAGCAATGTCGCAATCGAGTCGAAAGGAAGTCCCTTCCCGTTGACCCCTGACCCGTCGGGGGTGGGGATCCCAGGGGGAGTGGGGACGAGGCCCGGGGGGGGGGTCCCAGGGGTGGCCCCCCTGGGGGGAGGGGGTCAGATACGCACCCCCCCCGGGGGGTCCTGGGGCCTCAGAAAGTACCAAGACGGGCCAAGAGTGCCCGAAGAGACGCCCGAGACGGTCCAAGGGGGCCCCCAATCGCCAAGCGATCGGTCCAAAAAGGCCTCCACGCCCTCCAGACGTCCCAGGAGGCCTCCAGGACGCCCAAGAAGCCTACGAGAGCACTCCCGAGAGGGGGGGCCCCAGGAGGCCAAATTCATTGAGTCGGTGTTTGTGTGAAGATTCGGGCGTTCTCGCCTTTTCCACTTCCCGTCGCTCCGAGACGGCGCAAAGAGGGCCCCAAGATCGCCTCAAGACGGCCCAAGAGGCCTCCAAGAGGGCCCCCAAACAGCCCAAGAGGACTCCAAGACAGGCCCAAAACCCTCCAAGACGGTCCAAGAGGCCTCCAAGACGACTCTAAGAGCGTGCCCAGACGGGGGACCCGAACAGACATTTCGACCCCTCGGCCCCGAAGGGCTCCCAGGAGGCCACAAGTACGAGGTTCCCAATAGGCCCACAAGAGGTCCCAGAGGCCACCACCGAGAGCCTGCCGAAGAGAGCATCCATGAGAACTCTGGCCCACGTCAGCGTCGCCGCCGCCGCCGCCGCCGCCGCCGCCGCCGCCGCCGCCGCCGCCGCCGCCGTCGTCGTCGTCGTCGTCGTCGTCGTCGTCGTCGTCGTCGTCGTCGTCGTCGTCGTCGTCGTCGTCGTCGTCGTCTCCCTTCACGGTCGGCGGCACCGGCCGTAAGGCATTCGCAATGCGTCGCCCTGTGGCGCATGGCGCTTGGCAGCCACGTGCTGCGATTGTACGGCGTTCGCATCCAACGCCCACGACCGCACGCAGCGTGGCGCACCTGCTCGAGAACCCCTGCGCGAAAGGCCCAGTCTATGGACGCCCGAAATGGGCACGGAAAGGATGGGCACAATGCCCAACAGCAAATGTTGCCCCAAACCAGCAGCGGCCGCTGTTGGGCAGGCGGCCTCCTGTCTCGAGTGGACACAGGCCCCGGCGGCGCGGACAGCGGGTCCTGTTCAAAGTGAACAGGAACTGCTGTTGGGCATCGTACCCATTCTTTCCGTACCCATTTCGGGCGTCCAGACAGTCGCCCGAATCCAAGCTGGCCTCCCTTGGGGGCCCGGGCCCGCGGACGGCGCACGGGCTCCGTGCTGCCTGCTTCCTGGTTCCTTGCTGGAGGCCTGAGAGGGCCGGCGCCGAGACGGGGGCCCTCCAGGGCGTGTCCCAGGATGTACAGGGCAGTTTTTAATCCATAGTTTTTTACATAAAGAAACTAGCATTGGATTTGAATACACGTTTACCTTAAGAATAAATGTATGCATGAACCCATATTTGTCTTTAATACTAAATCCCTGCATTTCTAATTCATGATCCGCACGCGGAGCATGTATTAAAAACGGCACTGTACTCAAGTCCTCGGGGCGGATCTGGCCGGGGCCGTGGGCATGGCCGGTGGTGCACAGACGGGGCCCAGAGGGATGGGGTCCTCTACAGACGAGGTGCCTCAAGGATCCCGGGACCCCTAGGAGGAGGAGAAGTGATCTTCCTCTGCGGCAGGGGGATGCCTGGGCCACGAGGCCCCCCGAGGGGCGAGGCCCTCCAGAACAGAAACGACACTCGAACCTCTAGCTCCGACCGCCGACGCCAGAGGGAAGAAACTATTGAAGGGGCCCTGGGACACACAAATAGATACACACAAATAACGAGATGTCCCATATTTTCTCATATTTTCTGGGTTTTTGTCTCCCCCGCATTTCCCATGTTTTCCTATATTCTTTGGGCAATCGACGATTCATTGTCTGTGTGTTGTTTCCCCTCCTGAACTATTTACGTAAAAAGCAAACGCTTTCGGAACCCGCGCAGGATTCTCGGCGCCGGAGGCGCCGCCAGGGAGGCCCAGCGACGATCAATGGAATCCGCGCGGAGCTCCGAAAGAGTACGCTTAGGTCCTTGTTTCGTCCTATACCATCGTAGATGGGTTGCAATCCGAGTGCCGAACCACAGAATCTCCAGGGACGCACAAGGACATACTAGTACTATGTGTCTTGCTCGGAGGCGTGCGTCAGACCCGAACATTTGTACAACCATCCTGAAGTACATCGTTTCCCGAGGCGGTGCGGCTAGAAAGTGCTGGCTACGACGCATATGCTAGAAGATTCCTCGGTGCGCGCGTCGCCCCTGGGGGGGCAACAAACACAGAATAGTGGTATCGGGGGCGACAATAAGGGGGCGAATAGCTCCGGGGAAGGCAACACATGCATCCAGAGTCGCCGACGGTCAATGCCTTCGGCGAAGCTCCTGGGCGAATACATGTGATGCCCGCCAATGGGCTAGTGGCCTCCCTCATTGTCGCCTCCGACAACATGTTTGGGTGACGCCGCAAAAAAAAATCCGAGAAGCCCCAAGAGGCCCCCAAGAGACCCCCGGGAAGCCCCAAGAGGCCCCCACGAGGCTTCCAAGCTGCCCCCAAGAGCTTCCCAAGAGGCCCCCAAACTACCTCCAAGAGTCGGGTCGGGCGAAAGGGGGGGCTAGCAAAGGGGAGGTTTGAGAATCGGCTCACGTAGCTGGTTTCCCCGGCGCCTCCTGGCGCTGGAGGCGACTGTGTATCGAGGAATGGGCCCCTCGGTGAGGCCGAGACCAGCTGCATGCGGCAAATTTCGTGACCCCCCTTTCCCAATCCCCCCCCCTTTCGCCCGGCCCGAAAGAGGCCCCTGAGAGCGCTCGTCGTCGTCGTCGTCGCCCTTCGGGGTCGGCGGCACCGGCCGTGAGGCCTTCGCCATCGCCGCCCCGCTCGGCACACGAGCGCCCCGCCGTGCTCCGCGCGGCGCGGCGCCGCTCGGGCCGAGGAGCCAAGTCGTGGCGCCGTGGACTGCAGCCGCCCCCCCCCCACCCGCGACACTACAGGTCAGTGTTGATACATAGGATTTTCAAACGTATGGGATTCTGAATACATGATTCATCTATGAACAGATTGATTCATGAGCTCCTCGTTGTTTTTAGTACTAAATCCCTGCATGTTCAACACATGATCCGCACGCGGAGCATGCATGAAAAACGGCACTGTACGACCTGCGCGCCGCCGGGGCGCGCCGCCGGGGCGCTAAGAGAGCCGGCGTACCGTCAGTCCGTGTAGCGAGGACGCGCGAAGAGGAGGCAGGGGCCTCGGAAGGCCACGCCAACACTCTCGGCGGGGCGTGGCGAAGTGGCCAAGGGTGACCGAGGAGGCAAGGATGCACGTGTGTTCTTGGGAAAGTTGCTCCTCCTCACTGTGCAAGAAGACTGTATCCCCCACAGTGCCATCAGCGCGTAATGGCGTGCCGCCGACCTCCCCCTCCCGCGAAGGGCGGACCAGTTTGGCAGAGGAGGAGGAGAAGGAGGAGGAGGAGGAGGAGGAGGGGGAGGGGGAGGAGGAGGAACAGGAGGAGGAGGAGAAGGAGGAAGAGGAGGAGATGGAGGAGGAAGGGGAGGAAGAGGAGGAGGAGGAGGAGGAGGAGGAGGAGGAGGAGGAGGAGGAGGACTATCGATGTGGAGGAGGAGGACTATCGAGGAGGAGGAGGAGGAGGAGGAGGAGGAGGAGGAGGAGGAGGAGGAGGAGGAGAAGGAAGGAGACGGCTGGGCGGCACGCCTCCCCGTCGCCACCAGGGAGGAGCAGGCCGACAGGGGGGGGGGGGGGGCACACGCCGACGGCAGGCCCCGTCCGCCCGCCCGCGGCGCACCTGGCCGGCCTCGAACTGCTGCGTGCGCACGTACGCCATCTGTTCGCCCGGGGAGGGGGAGACGAGAGGGGGAGAGGAGGGGGAGGAGGGGGAGGAGGAGGAGGAGGAGGAGGAGGAGGAGGAGGAGGAGGAGGAGGAGGAGACTGGCAGAGGCGGGAGAACACCGACCTGGAATCGGCGATGCATCGCCGATAGATCGGCGGCAGGCCCCCGATGATAAATCCGCACTCTCCTTGGCAGGCTGGGGCTATCGGGCCCCTATCGGCGACGAATGGACGATTGGGGGTCGATGCATCCCCCCGTATGCCTATCCTACCCTATCGTTGTCGTTGCCCCAGGTGGGGGGGGGACAGGGGGGAGGATGGGAGAAGGGAGGGAAGGCGACGAGGAACGCGCAGGTGGTCCGGCTCTGGCACCTGCCAAACATGAGGAGGGCACCCAACCAGAAAACTGAAACCGGAGCTCGACCCCGAACGGTGCAACGCCAGTATTGAAGGGGCCCAGGGACCCACAAACAAATAGACAAAAATCCCAGGATCCCCCATATTTACCAAATTTCCTGGATGTCCTTCTCCCGCTCCCCTTCGCATATGTTCCATATCATCCTGAGAATCGGTGTATATGGGTGTCTATTTTTGTCCCCCTCCTGCGGTATGGACATCTGGCACGAGCGCCAATAATATAAATGCAAGGGCGGAAAAGAGCAAACTCTGCGAAGAACACGACCGGTCGCGTAGCCCATAAGCGCAGAGGCAACGGCAGAGGGAGGGTTGGGGGGGATGGAGCTGCGAAGAGGGTGAGGGAGGGAGGGAGGGAGGGGGAGGGGGATAGAGGGGGGGGGGGGGGGGAGAAGGAGGAGGAGGAGGAGGAGGAGAGGCGGAGGCGGAGGAGGAGGAGGAGGAGGAGGAGGAGGGAGAGGAGGAGGAGGAGGAGGAGGAGGAGGAGGAGGAGGAGAGGAGGAGGGGGAGCGAAGAGAGGGGGAGAGGATGAGGGGGATGGAGGAGGAGAAAGGGGAAGGAAAAGGAGAAGTAGCAGGAGGAGAAGGAGAACCATGGAGGCGCGCCGTGCCCTTTTGGGCAAGGCGCGCCGTAGCCTCAGAACGTGTCAGTGTAGAAGTTGAGGCTGGAAAAATAAACGTAGCACCGCGCAATTGCGGATAAGAGTGAGGGGGCGGGCGCGGGCGACGCGGGCGTCGTCGAGCCGGCGGACCTCGTGGCCCCCACCTTCCCTGTCGATGGCGCTCTCCTCCTCCTCCTCCTCCTCCTCCTCCTCCTCCTCCGTCCTCGTCCTCATCGTCATCGTCATCCTCCTCCTCCACCTCGTCCTCCTCCTCTTCTTCCTCGTCCTCCCTCTCCCCCCCTCGTCCTTTCATCATCGTCCTCCCATTGTCGTCCTCCCCCTCATCGGCCTCCATCATCGTCCTCCCATTGTCGTCCATCATCATCATCCTCCCCCTCCTCCCCCTCCTCGTCCTCCTCCGCCCCCTCCTCCCCCTCCTCCACCTCCTCGTCCTCCTGCTCCTCCTCCTTTTCTTTCTCCACATTCTCCTTACATCCTCTCTTCTTCCGCGTTCTCCTCGTCCCCTGCTTACTCCTCCTGCCTCCCCCTCTTTTCCCAAGATAACTGCAACGCAATCCTATCTTTCCACTTTATGCTCCCCGCCTTCTCTGATCAAGGCAACTCGCCAGGGCAGAGTTGCTGGACGGGCTGGTGTGGATGCGCGGGGCTTGAAGAGGTCCTTGCGGGCTCAGACGGCATGCAAAAATCCGCCGCCGCGCTTGTGCGGCATTGTTTTTTTCAGTGAACGTGGTTTAGGTCGCGGGTGGGTCGCGGGTTCTCCACCTCCACCTGGAAGGAATGCAAAAGCAGCCCGCCGCTGGCGCCAAAAAATTGGTCTGTACACTGAACGTGGTTTGGGTCGCGGGTGGGCCGCGGGTTCTCCACCGGGAACGAATGCAAAAGATGCCCGCCGCAGGCGCCCAAAAATGTGGTTTGTACCCTGAATGTGGTCGCGGGTGGGCCGCGGGCTCTCCACCTGAAACGAATGCAAAAAATGCCCGCCGCAGGCGCCGAAAAATGTGGTTTCTACCCTGAACGTGGTTTGGGTCGCGGGTTGGTCGCGAGTTGGTCACGGGGTGGGTCGCGGGCACTCCGCCTGGAAGGAATGCAAAAAAAGCCCGCCGCAGGCGCCGAAAATGGTGGTTTGTATCTTGAACGTGGTTTGGGTCGCGGGTGGGTCGCGGGGTAGGTCGCGGGTGGGTCGCGTGTGGGTCGCGGGTGGGTCGCGGGTGGGTCGCGGGTGGGTCGCGGGTGGGTCGCGGGGTGGGCCGCGGGCGGGTCGCGGGGTGGGTCGCGGGATGGGTCGCGGGGAGGGTCGCGGGGTGGGTCGCGGGGTGTGTCGCGGGTGTGTCGCGGGTGGGTCGCGGGTGGGTCGCGGGTGGGTCGCGGGGTGGGTCGCGGGGTGGGTCGCGGGTGGGTCGCGGGGCGGATTGCGGGTGGGACGACGACAACAAACAACAACATACAACAACAACAACAACAACAACAACAACAACAACAACAACAACAACGAGAATCCGCATCGCGGAATTCCACTTCAGCCACGCACCCAGGGACAGTGAATGACCGTTCGGCCCCCTCACTCTGACAAACTGGCACATATGAGAAAATTGGCGAAATAAGGAACGAACCGGCCGAAATAGACGGCGTGGGTGAAAAATGAACGACCCGGGGCAAAATGAAGGTGAGAAAGGCGAGGTTCATGCTGGTGCCAGTGGTCAGCGTTGCCTGCTGGTGGTCACTGCCGTGATCGGTGTTGATGGTCGGTGTTTTGCGGTGGTCAGAGGTGTTCTGTCGCGGTCGATGCTGCTGGCCTGGTAGTGGTCAATGCTGATTGGTGTTGGTGGCGTTGTTGGTCGGTGGTGGTCGGTGTTGGTGGTCAGGGCTGAATCGGTGTTGCCTGTGTTCCGTTGTTGCTGTAGGTGGTTGTGGGTGGTCGGCGGTGGTCGGTGTGTTGTGCCAATGATGTCGTTTCTGTTCCCGCTAGTTTTTGTTTGTTGATGCTATCGGTGGTGGGACGTTTGCACATTCATCTGGCGCACGTGAAGAAGATGCTTGCAAACTAATCCCACTACGTCGTGCCCGTTGAGTCCGTCTGAAATATTACATCGTTGTTGTCGGAATAAAGATATCGCCATGGCGTCCTTGGTGTTGATATGTGTGACTACGTCGCTGGTGGTCTGATGTAAGCTCCACATGAACTTTCGCACGTTGTCGTCACACCGGTTTTGTTGGCCACCGTGCTGCCGACGACCCTGCTGCTACATTGTATGTCCCCTCGCGCTGATCGACGACATTGCAGCGATGCTCGCGCGGATGCGGGCGCACCCTTTTCAAACTGCAGGGACGCGACACGCGTTCCGACGTCAGGTTCGCGTACCACCATCTTTGAGGTGCAGGAGATTGGAACCACGCGCCCGCAGTGGCAGAAGGGCGGGCGACCATACAGCGCAGGCAGGAAAAAAATTATCGACTATTTTGATGGCCCGCGTATCCCAAAATATTCGACACAAGTTGTACGCAAAACCTTTGTTCATCGGGAGATGTTTGACTTGGCCCAGGGTATTGTCAATGACTAGTTGTAGGGGTTCGCTAGTCGTCGTAAGCCACACCTTGTCACCACACTGCTACTTGTCACTCGTGGCCCTCGCCTTTAATTCAGGATGCCCTGCTTGAGCATAACCAGTAGCAATATTCAGAATTCTGGTTAAAATCGGGTGGGCGAAATTTGAAATTGTCACAAACCTGTCCTTCATCCCGTGCTCTTCCATGATCTGTTGGATCAGCTGAAAGATGTGGTCTTCTACATCCTCCTTCAGGCCTCCCACGATTGGCTTTACTTCCCGACTCGTCAAGCGGTGATGAGGAACATCTACGTTTCTGGTCCGATATTTCCTCGCAGCGTATTCCAGCGTCGCGCTTTCGCGCGGGACTGCCTCACAATGTATGCAACACTCGCGCTTTCGCGTGGGACTTCCTCGCAACGTATTCCGACGCCGCGCCCTCGAGATTCACGAATCACGCTCTCGCTCTTGCCTCTCTCACGATTCGCTTGGGCATCGCGCTCTCTCCCGAACCGTGCTCGCGATTCACGCAAGACCCACGCTTCCGCAGCCCGCCTTCCCGACCCGGCCGCCAGGGCCCGCCGTCCCGACCCGCCCGTTGGGGCCTGCCCGCCCGATGTGGACGCTGGGTTATGCCGCATGCTTTCTGCTCCTGGCCCTCGCCCTGCCAAGTTCTTTCGTGCTCCATCGTTTCGTTCACCATCCCCGCAGCTCCTCCTCCTCCTCCTCCCCCTCCTCCTCCTCCTCCTCCTCCTCCTCCTCCTCCCCCTCCTCCTCCTCCTCCTCCTCCCCCTCCTCCTCCTCCTCCTCCTCCTCCTCCTCCTCCTCCTCCTCCTCCTCCTCCTCCCGTGGCGATTCTAGGGGCCGTCGGCCCACCACCACGCGGCGCAGCTGCGGGCGTCGTGGGCGACTCCATCCGTGGACCTCTCCAGTGTTAGAAGCCTCCTGTGGGACTCGAGCCCACGACCTCCCGCTTGCCGAGCGGGTGCTCTGCCAACGAAGCTAGAGAGGCAGGCGCTGCGCCTGCGCGGGGCGACGCTGCGCTTGCCCGTCGCCGACAGCGGGGTCTCCTCCCCTGCTTTAGGGGCTGCGCTCGACACGTGTGGCAGGTAAGGAACAGACACCCCAAAGAGCGCACGATAGGAATCGAAGAGGGCGGGCACCGAGGGTCTGGGATATACGCGGTGAAGAATTGCACGCGAGCCAATAGGAGCGAACACTATTCAAATAAGTGTTGATGTTGTGGGTGTTACTGTTGTTGGCTGTTGTGGATTCCCAATTCCAAAAGACAGTTGTTGTTGATTCCCCTGCTTGATAACCGTTGTGTTTTCAATTAGATAAAAAACAACTCCTAATGGGGATCCTTCCGGGACACGCACTTTGTTCTTTCAAAAGAACAATGCAAAGTCATTAAAACTGTTTCCCTGGGCCCCGCCTTACAACGTCAGGGGTTTCCGCCTGATGCTTCCTCGCAACTCATTGGTAAAACGCGCTTTCGCGCGGGACTTCCTCAAAATGTATGCAAGTATCGCGCTCTCACGTGGGACTTCCCGTCAATGTCTTGCATGTCGCGCCCGCGAGAGTCAAGAATCACGATCTCGCTTCTGCCTCTCTCGCGAGTTACTTGGGGATCGCGCCCACCCGAGACTTTCGCACGGCTCATGCAAGCCCCACGATTCAACCCGCCGAGTGGGCCCGCCTTCCCGACCCGTCCGTTGGGGTTTGCCCTCCCGATCTGACCGTCTTGTTCTGCCAGATGTTTTTAATTCCGAACCATCCTCCTGCGTCATGCAGCTACATCTCGTGCTCTATCGTTCTCCATCCTCCGTCCATCTGTCCTTCCCTGCCCTGCTTCAGGGGCTGCCCCCAAGGCTGTACGATAGAAACTGAAGAGAGGGCGGGCACCGATGATCTGAAACATGCGTGTTGAAAAAATGGCACGCGAGAAAATAGGAGCGAACAGTCTTCAAATGATTGTTGCTGTTGTTGGTGTTACTGCTGTTGGTGTTGTTGCTGGATCTTCATTCCTAAAGAATGACTATTGTTGATCCCCCCCTGCTTGTGGACCATTGCATTTTCAATTGGGGTGCTCCTCCTGGGGCTCCTCCCAGGACTCACACCATGTGTGTCGTGGCCATGGTCATCGAAGTGTTTCCTTGCGCCCCGCCATGCAACTGCAGCGGTTCCCGCCTGATGCGCCCTCACAACTCATTGATAAAAACGTGTATTCTCGCGGGACGTCCTGACCATTTCTGTAGGAATCGCGCTGTCGCATGGGACTCCCCGCAATGTGTTCAAACGCCGCGCCCTCGACGTTTAGGAATCGCGCCCTCGCTTTCGTTTTTTCCCTGGTTCACGCGGGAATCGCGCAATCGCTCAACACCTCCTCGCAATGCATGTAACACGCACGTTTCAGCAACCCGCTTGCTCGACCTCGCGGCCTGGACCCGCTTTCTCGACCCGCCCGTCAGCGTCTACCCGCTCGATCAGCCCGTCTTGTTCTGCCACATGGTTTTTGTTCCCACCTCTCTCCTGCTACTTTCTCCCTCTTCCATCCCGACCGCAACCCAACCGCGATCCAGCCGCGACCCAAGCCGCGACCTACACGTAACCCCCTCCGAGACCCATCTCGCGCCCGCCCCCTCACGCTAATCCGCAACTGCGGGGTGCTACATATTGAACGAAGGGAACGGATACAAAGATGCCCGACCCAACGGATAGGCTGGCTACGGCCAAAGAGGAAACAGCATGTTTCTGTTGGGCGACAGCACCGATGGCCTCGTTCAAGGAGGTCGTGAAGTCCCCAGTCGCCAAGGTTGCTGCTGGCCTCCGCTCTGCCTTACCGCACGGTCGGTCAGCGCGCGGTTCTGGGACCGTGGAGGCCCCAGTCGCCCGAGGCATCGTCGGATAACGGCTGGTAGTGGTAGGATGTCGGATGTGTGATACTCTACTCGACGTAGGAAGATAACAACCTCGATTCGTACTTCCCCCGGCGATAATGAAGTTCGGCGTCGCCGCCCCCTCCCCCCGACTAATTCTGTCTTGGACCAGGATAATCAATTCTCAGGTCGGACAGGGGCGGGCACTTTACTTATCCGGGGCAAAGGGTTAACTCACCCCACGGTGCGGTCCACGACGACGACCGACGGGGCCGACGACGAAGCCGACAACGACGGGCGACGACTTCGACGACGACGACGGCGCAACGACGACAACGATAACTACGACGACGACGACGACGACGACGACGACGACGACGACGACGACGACGACGACGACGACGACGACGACGACGACGACCGACGCCGACGCCGACGCCGACGCCGACGCCGAAGACGACGCCGACGACGACGCCGACGACGACGCCGACGACGCCGCTGGCGCAGGACGGCGAAGGACGGCGAAGGGCGGTGGCCGCGACGCCTCCGGGGCGGTGTCCTGCTCGAAGGTGGGCCCCGGCACGTAGACGGCCTGCCCCAGCTCGCGCACGGTGGTGGTGGTGGGCTGCACCTGCTGGCGGCAGCTCCGGCTTCGAGGATCGAGTTCTCCGATGATTAGACCTACACTGCGGGCGCGGCCGCAAGAAACCCTCGCAAGAAACCCAGCCCTGAAGCACGCAATCGCGATATGCATGTGGTGGGGAGCCCCGAGCACCCTGAACGCAGCGGCTCCTTCAACGGCCACAGGAAGCCACCGCGCAGCGCGCGGAGCGAAGAAACCCAGGGTACCCTGACGAGAAGCATTCAGTTTCTTGATGCGCGCCCCCACTGTAATAGGATCACTAACCCTTTGGGAGGGGACCTGAATTAGAAGGGCCAGGAACATCAGGGATAGGGGGTCTTTTCTGCAGGTGTATCGAGCCAAGCCGCCCAGACTTAGTATCCCGAGTACCAAGACGGGGACCTCAGTGAGGCTACGGCGGTGGTGAAGTGGGGTGCACCTGCTGGCGGCAGCTCCGGCTTCGAGGGTAGAGTTCTGTTTTCCCGTCGTACACAAGGACCCCAGAAATAGTTTCGGGCACCCAGAAAGGTATCGAAACAGTGTCGAACGAGTATCGCCTCCCAGGGCCCGACACGGGAAAACCCACCAGTTTCGGTACTCTCCTGGTGCTCAAGATTCTTGCTGGTGATCGAGGCTAAAGTAGATTGGAAGATCAAAAGGATTCCTAGAGGCCTCCTTGATGGGGTACGAGCAGATGGGGTCGGAGGATCGCGCCGCATCGCCGATGCATCGGAGATACATCGAGGATGTAGCGGCAATGCATCGGCGATGCATCGGCGACGTCGGCTTGGAGGGACTCGGACTCCACGTCCGGCCGCATCGGCGCTCTGGCGCGATCCTCCAAACCAACCTACTCGGACCCCATCTCGGAGGCCCAGAGAGAACTGGCTGAAACGAGGCGAGGCCAGGGTGTGGACAACTCCGGGCGAGGGTCAATCGAGAATCTCTGAGATCTGGCGGCTCGGGAAAACGTCCTGGGCGCCGCGACCTTCTCAGAGCGTGCGCTCTGAGAGTGAACCGGAACGCTCTGGAACGGACTCATCATCGTCGTCGTCCCGTCCGAGAACGGCTGGCATGTATCCAAAACCTTAGGACAACCGAGGGGCAACGATAGGGGGGGACTGGCATAGGGGGGGACGCATCGACATGGAATCGGCGGTACATCGCTTCGGCGATAGGCCCCCGATGGTGAATCCGAAAGTTCCTGGGCAGGTTGGGGCTATCGGGCACCTACCGGCGATCAATGGGCGATTGGGGGTCAATGTATCCCCCCCTATGCCATCCCCCCCTATCGTTGCCCCTGGACAACATGCTTGGCCGCGGGCAACTGCGAGGCAAGCACCGGTCAAGCGTCGGAAGGGGCGATCCCGAAACGAATTGAGGCACTGGAGGAGCCGGGCAGAGAAGAGAGGCGGAAAAGACAGAGCCGCGGTGAACCCTTCGAAAAACAAACGATGTGTGATTGCTCACCCTTGCGCGCGGTTCTTCATTTTTGGCGATGACGGACGTCATGGGGGGAAGGCGGGGGGTATGACGCGACGCCCCCCCCGCCGTGTGGCTCTGGCACAACAGCCGCTCCCACGCGCGACGGGCGACGAGCGACGAGCACGACGACGACGACGACGCGAGCATCATGTAGGTGACGATCTGCCCCACAGCGTCTGTGTACACCACAGTGCCCGCGTGCACCACAGCGAGCGGATATACCAAGGCGCCCGCGTAAAACGCAGCGCCTGTGTATACCACAATTCTTGCGTACACTACAGCGCCGGTGTACGCCACAGCGAATGTGTATACCGCAGCAAGGATGTGCAACACAGCGCCTGTGTACACCACAGTGCTTGCGTGCACCGCAGCGCCTGCGCACACCACGCCTCCAGTCTGCACCACAGCATCCGCGTGTAACACAGCGCTGGTGTACACCACGGCACTTGAGTGCACAGGACAAGTAGAAGGAGCAGGTAAGTGAGGATCTGCTGCGGACAGCTACACGCAACGCCAAGGAAGTGCTGATAATACAATGCGACGTTTTTCCCTCTTCCTCCTCCCCCTCCTCCACCTCCACCTCCTCCTCCTCGTCCTCTTCCTCCACCCCTTCCTCTTCCTCCTCCTCCCCCTCCCCCTCCTCCCTCACCCTTCCCCCCTGTCGTGTGGGTCGGCGCTACAGCGCACGTGCGCATGTCAGCGTGCACCGTAGAATGACCTATGGAATCAGTCCACTTGGTTACGGGACGGCCAATTTAGCTGGAGCCTCCTGAACGCTGAATGATGCGGGTGGACTCGACGGGGAGGGAGGGAGGAGCTGAGCTGAGCGGGGCGCGCCATGGGCATCCGCGGTTTCGCCCACGCGCGAGCTCGGAGGGGGGCGGGAGCAAGAGGAGGGGGACGGAGCAGGGAGGACCCAGGACGATAGGGGAAGAGGGGGGTAATGCATATGTTTCCTGCCCTTCTTCTTCTTACTCATATGATGCATGTTCTTCTTCTCAGTAGTTGCATTAACGTGAGAACTCGTCTTACTGTTCCTCTTATCCATTGTGCCTCCTAGATGAGGTCGGGGTAGATGGGGTCGGAGAATCGCGCCACATCGCCCATACATCGGCGATGCATCGGGGATGTATCGCCGATGCATCGCCGACGACGGCGGCGCATCGGCGACGTCGGCGTCGAGAAAATCGGACTCCGCATCGGGCCGCATCGCCGAAGCATCGAGGATGCGGCGCGATCCTCCGACACCATCTACTCGGAAACCATGTAGGAGGCCTAGATCTTCTTATCATCTGTACGAGTGTGTATAACATGCTTATCCTTCTTCGTTCTTCCCCGCCTGCTGCCCCTCCTCCTCCGAGAGCGTTGGGCGCCTCGGTCACCAAGCAATTGGCACGGTCCTGGAAGACCTGCGCCTGCATGGAGACCTGCCCAAGGCCACGGCGCTTCGCACTGCCCCTCCTGCCCAAGCTGCTCGCCGTGCCTTCTGTGGCATCCTCGGGGGACCTTCACCGTCCCGTCGCTGGCCCTGTATCCGCGTGGAATCGGTATCGAACCCGTGTCGGCCTTGTCGGGTACGTGTCGGATCCGTGCAGACTCCGCGTCGAATCCACGCCAACCCCGCGTCGAATCCGCATCGACACCCGCGTCGGGCACAAGAGAAGAGACGCAACGACGAAACCTTTCGGGAGGGCAACCTCATGGGCGGGCAAGCGTGCTCGTCACATGCGGCGGTGCTCCGTCACCATGCTGCAGGGAACCGAGTGGAGCGTCTTCGGCGGGCCCCTTCAAACTCCCTGTGTGGAGGATTTTAGGCAGGGCGCCGACTACGCAGTGTGTCTATAGGTTCGGCGTCTCGACATGGGACGGAAGGGGGTGGGGGGAGGGGGGGTCTGGCTCCAGACCTCTGCCTCTGCTGAAGGTGACCGTTTGCAACAGTGCGTCCTGTAAGGGAGACTCCACCTGCTTGAGGCAGGCGCCCAAAACAACAAAGATCTACTCCATGGGAGGGGGGGAGGGGTTGCGAAGGCCCGCGCCGCTCGGAAAAACAATGAATCAAAGAACGATCCCTAGCTCTTGTTCTGCTTCCGTTCTCCCTCGTCTTGACTTCGTTCCTCTGTTGCTGTGAATCGAAATCATGACGACAACAGTCCACGAAATCGTCAGAACACCGTGTAGTTCGAGCTCCGACTGCAGGAGAGCCCAGAATCGAATCGAGAAGCCGGATCGTCCATCGAATTGAATCGGATCGGCAGGAATCGGCAGCCGAGTCGGGAAAAGTCGAATCGGCGGAAAACCGCAGGCCACCGCAGGCGCAGCAACACCCCAAGAACAACCGAAAGACAACCGAAACCTTCCGCACCCGACCACGTCCGCCTCGCCGGACACGTGGTCCAAACACCCTCCTCGTGCCTCCTCCCGCCTCCTTCCTCTACGTCCTGGGAAGACCCCCCCCTCCCCCGCATTCCCAGAAAATGAAAGGATCCCCTTGCTGTTCACAGACCGGAAATTGAATCCGCGCAAGACAGAAATAGGATCCACGATACTGTCGCACACCCGAAAGGGATCCAAGTGGGTCCATCGGTGTTCTCATATTTTTAATCAAAAGGGAAAACTTTCGGCTGGGGGATGTAGTGCAACCGTCGCTGACACAAATCCTCCGGTTATGCGGCATTGGACCATGTGGCGGCGTAAGGAGAAAGCCTTTCCTAGCGAGAATATGCCTCCAGGGAGAGATCGTAGCCCAAATCGGAATCCCAAGTCGAACCGAATCGGAATCGGAAGCCATCGAAGTCGAATCGAATCGAATCGGAAGAGTCGAAGGAAGCCCTGCGACTGTTAGGCGGCGTGTGAGGGGGGGAAGTCAGAAGAAAAAGGCCTTCTCAGAAGGCGGCGGGGCTTCTCAGAAGGCCTCCGGCCTGCTGAAAGGCTCCTGTGGTGTCTTCTGGGAAGGCTTGGAAGACTTCTCAGGAGGCTGGGGGGCTCCCGAGCCTTCTGAGAGGGCCCGCCCCTTCTCGCTTCCCCCCCTCGCTCGCGGCCGAACTGTGTTTCCATAGCGGTCCGGTGGCAGACCGCGCGGTGAACCTCGGGGGAGGGGCAGGCGCCTCACCGTGGACGGCCCGCCGGGGCCTCGGACGCTCCAGCCGCCCGGGCCACCCGCAAAACCGCGGGGTCGCCCCGAGTCCCCACAGACTCGCCACGCGTCGAGGGCTGCCGAGGGCACCCCCGGCTTCAGGGCGGGCAGGTCCTCCGACAGGGGGGCGGGCAATCACAAATGCCCAGGGGCCCCCTATCTGGTGCCATCCTGGCGCTCAAGGAGCGCCATCCTGTCCGTCGAGCGCTGTCACACCCCGACGATGGGTGTGGCGCGCAGCGGGGCGGCGCGGCGCTGCTCGGGCGCGCCTGCGCCGCACCCCGCTGCTGCGCTCGGGCGTGGCGACACCCGACAGACGACGCGCGACCGCACGCGCGCGCGGGCGCGCGGCGTCGCGGAAAAGGAACGGGAAACCCCGCCCGACACCGAAGCGCAGCGCAAGAGAGAGGCTTGGTTGGCCACGGGGGGAACACGGGTCCAGCCCTGCGATATGGGAGCAAAATCGATTTGTCCGAAATTATCTGGCGCAGGTTGGTCCGAAGGTTTCTTGCCCACGTTGTGTTGCGCGATCTGATTGTCCGGCGGCTTGTGGAAAAAACGCGTTTCCAATGAACAGCTTCTGATTCATGCAGAGCTCGGCGAGGAGGCTCCGATCGGACGAAGCGTTGCGCAGCGCATCCAGGGCTCCGAAGAATGCGTGGTCCAATGATGGGTTCTTCGCCAGGGTACCGGCGGTGAAGTCGCGCGCTAAAGTCTCCTAGAACCAGGGCGGGGCCGCGCCAGGAGCCAATGCCGATGAGAGCGCCGAGGTTAGACAAATGTTGACGCCTGTTTTCGAAGTTTTTGCCGCTATGGGGAGCGTGCGTGCGCGGTATAGATCATGATCTTTCCGCCCTTCACGCGCAACCTCAAAGACGGCATTTGGGAGTCCTGCTGTTTGAACCCCACGACGGACGGGCGGTTGCGTGGCGACGCGCTAAAGCCGATCCCCGCCATCTCATTGTCATCTGGATCCGAAGCGCCGGAAAGGACGATGAGAAATCCGGCGTCAAAAACGGAGAAGTCCGCCCCCGTCTTGTGCGTCTCCTGGGTGCACAGCACGTCGATGTGCATGGATGTCATATGCCACTCAAATTCTGCTTGATTTGCCTCGGTAAGGCCTTCAACGTTCCATGTTGCTAGTCGGAGCTGCCGGGTGCACGGCCGCAGGGCGCCGCCTCGGAAGTGTAAGGCCTCGGAAGCTGGGGATGCAAGGGAAGAGGTGGTAGCAGTAGCGCCGACTGCTGGAGAACATGCTTTGCCAGAGCCGGAGGAGTGAATTCCATTATCTTTCATAGCCGCAGAAGGGCCGACTGCGGATGAGGGTGGAACATTGCTCATGTGTCGTCTTTCCTAATAGGACCGCTGCCCCTTGGAGCAGCCTTTAGCGCCTCCCTTGAGCCCCTGCGTGGCCCGCAAGACCAGATCATCCGACTTCTTCATCGGATCCTTGGTTCGGAAGCAGATCGGTCTGTCGTGGCCCAGACCTCCTTGTGGCCGCCGGCGAGGGCCGCACCGCGGAGGCGTGCCGCCGCCTGGTCACGCCCCGCTGCCTTGGCGAGCTCGGCGAAGAGGATGCCCCCAAAGCCGCCCTCTGTGTACACGTTGGTCGGCGCAGGCCCCTTTGAGGCAGTGAGCTTGCCCTGCAACCACTCGGCGGCCTTCGACAAGTCCGCGAAGTAGTCAAGACTGCCGATCACCATGGTGACCGCCGTCTTGTCGACCAGCGGGATGCTCCTGGTGTGAGGCGCCTGCCGGGAGGCCTGGTGCGTGAAGGCCTGCTGGATGCTCTCCTGGATCTTCGTGTCGATCTCCGCGGCGCGGGGGGAGGCCTGCATGGCCACGTCGATGCTCTCATGTTTTTCTATGCGCATGTCCACGTCGTCCAAGCGGCCCAAGACGGAAGTACCAAAATCCGCAACTTTGCCGTCGAGCTTCACCAACCGTTTCTTAAGCTCCTCCACCACCGAGGTCACAGGGCCCAATTGCTGCTGAAGGAGAGCAGCGATACCGGCCATCGTGACAGGCCCATCATCTTTGTGCGAAGAGGCCGCAGCAGCGCCGACATCTGGCTGGCGAAAAGCTGGTGCTCCCCGCTCGGATGGGCCATCCATGTCGCCTCCAGGCATCTGCACGTACCCCTGATCCTCCACGCTCATCTCGCCGATGAGCGGGGTCGCCGGGGAGTCTGGACAATGCCCAGAGCGCAGCTTGTTCGCCATGTTCTCCCATGGGTCCTGGAAGAGGTTCCCGACTGGAGTGCCTGGCGCGCGGGTGCCGGCACGGGCAGCAGGCGGCGAAGATGCAACACCTGAGATGTCGAGAGCTAACTGAAGGTATGGGGGGGCCGAAAGAGTATCGATTGGTGAAAGGTGAGAAATAGATCTGGGTTCAAATGCAACCGCCTTGAGCTCTTGAGCTCTTGAGCTCTTGAGCCAATATTGAGCTCTTGAACCACACAAGCAGATGTAATCAAAAACGAACACACTAAGAAAGTAAAGTAATGGCGGCAACAACGTTAGGGACACCATTCTAACAACCTAGAGAAGATCCCAAGTAAAGCCGCCCGAACCCAAAGGGAACCGTCCGATTGGAGGTCCTGCACTCCCAATGGAAGCTTGTATGTTGTCGTGTTTCCAACTGTTTTCCACAATTTCTGCCGCCAGTACTTCCATTTCTTTGGTTAGTTTGTTTGTGTTTGTTTGTCCTGAAGGTGTTCCTAAAACTCTGATTGCCCCCCTGTGTCCCCCTGTGTTCCCCATGTGTCCCCCTGTATACCCATGTGTCCCCCCTGTGTCCCCTCTCTGCCCCCCTACGTCGCTGTCTGTTCCCCTCTGTCAGCCTCTGTCCCCATAGGGGGTGGAGCAGGAGGAGAAGAAGAAGAAGAAAGTAGGGGGAGGAGGGAGCGGAATGGAGGAGGAGGAGTGAAATGGAGGAGGAGTGGAGTGGAGGAGCGGTCCTCCTCTTGCTTCTGCTCTGGAGGTGGTAGGAGGAGGCGTGAGCAATGAAAGCAGGGCATGATGGGGTGAGGAGGAGAAGGAGGAGGGGAGCAGAAGGAGGAGGAGGAGGAGGAGGAGCAGGAGGACGAGCAGGAGGAGGAGGAGGAGGAGGTGCTGGGGGAGGAGGAGGAGGAGAAGGAGGACCACTCCTCCATTCCTCAGGAGAAGGACCACTGAGAAGGAGGAGGAGGAGGAGTAGAGGGTAAGGGCTGGGTGGCGAGGAGGAGGATGAGGAGGAGGAGAAATAAGTAGTGGAATAGTTACTGGGTGTTCCTTTGGGTGTTTTTGGTTGTTCGGCGATCTGCCTTTCATTTCTTTGTGTGTTGTGTCGGTCCTTCGGTTGTTGCTGGCTTACCATCGCCTTCATGAGGAATCTCCTTGTGAGCCCCACGTAGCGGATTCCGAGTGTGAGGCGTTCTCATCGAATCCCCCTGTGCTGCGTTCCGAATGATTCCTTGTGACGCTTTTGAATCGGAACCATCAGTAGTTGTTCCCAAAAAGATTCCTATCGTGAGGCTTCCCAATCGAATCCCGTCGTGCGGCTTTCCAGAAGATTCCTGACGCGATGCTTTAGAATAGGAACCCTCAGTCGTGCTTCCAAAACGATTCCTTTGGTGAGGCTGTCCAGAAGAACCCCTTCGCTGCGTTCCAGCGAACAACACATCAGACGTCCGCATCAGTTCGCCCTCACCCTTCTAGAGCAAGACCCCCTCACCAAAACACAACATTAAACAAAAAACGCAGGGGCGCTCATGCCCCCTGAATCCCCACTTCGTCATACCCCGCATACGGTTCCTGGCCCCTTGGGGAACTCCCCCTCCATCGCTCCACCTGCCTTTCATCTGGCTGGATCCTTCGCCCGAATTATCACAAGGGCATACATAAGGGTAACGATGCATGCTGGGTAGGGTGAGCTCCTGCGTGATTCATGGAAACTGCGCAGATTCATCCAGGAATCACTGGGTGTGTCTGAGGGGCTTATGGGGGCTCGCGGGGGCCCTGAGGTGTTGTAGTGGGCCAGTTTGGACTTCGTCGCTGTTCCCCGTGTGTGGGTGTGTGTATGTATGTTTGTGTGTGTGTGTGCGTTCGTGTGTGTGTGTGTGTGTCTGTGTCTGTGTCTGTGTCTGTGTCCGTGCGTGTGCGTGTGCGTGTGCAGGTTCGTGTGCGTGCGCGTGCGCAGGTTCGTGTGCGTGCGCGTGCGCGTGCGCGTGTGCGTGGCCGTGTGCGTGTGCGTGGCCGTGTGCGTGTGCGTGTGCGTGTGCGCGTGCGCGTGCGCGTGCGCGTGCGCGTGCGCGTGCGCGTGCGCGTGCGCGTGCGCGTGCGCGTGCGCGTGCGCGTGCGCGTGCGCGTGCGCGTGCGCGTGCGCGTGCGCGTGCGCGTGCGCGTGCGTGCGTGCGTGCGCGTGCGTGCGTGCGTGCGTGCGTGCGTGCGTGTGTGTGTGTGTGGGTGGGCGTGTGAGTGTGAGTGTGCGTGTGCGTGTGCGTGCGTGTGTGTATGTGTGTCTCGGTGGCTCTCGCGCTGGGACTCGATAGTTCAGTTATTATGAGCTCCGTTTGGAGCTCATCTTGGCGATAGCTGAGACACCTTGATGCCTCCCAAAGCCCATAGGAAACAGGAAGGCAAGCACTCCAAAAGTATCAACCATTGAAATGATTAAAAAGACCTGAGCAGTTTGGGGGTCTCTTGAGGGTTGGCCCATCCTGAACAACATTGGGGACATCTTGAGGCTTTGGGGGGCTGTGTCGGGGGCATCTCTCGGGGCCTGCCACCCGAGCAGAGCTCTGCGAAGGTCACGGGGGCCTCGACAGACCTTCGGAGGCATCCAACAAGTCCATCACGTTTTTTGAGAGCAGCAAACCAGGTACCACTGCTTCTTCCTTCTCCCCTCCTCCCCCAGCACCACCTCCTCCTCCTCCTCGCCAAGGCCAGGAGGAGACGCGGGTCCCCGCATCTGCGAACGCGCTGGTGAGGGGGAATGTCAGGGGAGGCCGCCGCTCAGGGGGGCAAGCCTCGATACGACCGTGAATCGACCGTGAATCGGCGATACATCGACCGTGAATCGACCGTGAATCGACCGTGAATCGACCGTGAATGTCAGGGGTAAAACATCGACCGTGAATCGGCGATACGTCGCCGATCCTCGGCGACGGGCCCCCGATGGCGAGTCCGCGCGCTCCTGGGCGGGCAAGGGCTTCTCAGGCATCTGTCGGCGATCAGTGGGCGATTGGAGGTCGATGAATCACCTCCGGAGCCTGCCCCCGCACCCCATGATGTGTGGGGAGGTCATTAACTCGGCCACCGGCGGCCGTTCGGGACGCTACGTGCACCCCACGAAACGGCCTCGGCGAGGCGCAGCTGCTGGAGAACACCACGTCCCTGTAAAGCCGACGTGATCCGAAGAAGACTCAAACAGGAAACTCTCACTTCAAGCACGAACATCTCCAACATCGACACCCCTCCTGAGCGTGGTTGTGGAAAAACGCCCGCGGCCTGCGTCACGTTGCCCGGCATGACGTTGGTGCCAGGCATCTGGCGCGCGCGCGCGCTGGCAATGTGCGGCGCGATGCGCCCTCGCCTGAAGGCCGCCCTGACCCAGACAGCCAACGTCTGGAACAAGTCAAGACGGAGGTTGTTTGCACCTTCCAGCCTTCTCCAAGAGGTGCCTAGGAAGCCCCCAAGATGCCCCCAAAGAACGTGCGGGGAAGCGCAGGCAGCAAGGTTCTGGTTGGGCACTCCACCAAAACACGTGGGGGCGGCAAGCGCTGGAACAACTCCTTCAGGGCTGGCAGACACGAAGCAGGCCTTAGGGTCGGGCAGGTCCTCCCACAGGCGGACGTTGGACGACAAGTAAAACATCGTCCCCAGACTACTGCGATGCTGTGTTCGCACCTTCCTCCCGTACAGGGCAGTTTATAAAAAAATACATGGGATTTTATAACATATAGGATATTAAATACATGATTAATGTATAAAAAATTTATGCATGAACTCATCGTTGCTTATAATACTAAACATCCCTGCATTTTGAATACATGATCCGCACGCGGAGCATGTAGTAAAAACGGCACTGTAGTAGGTGCGGGGAAGCGCAGGCAGCCAGGTTATGGTTGGGCGCTCCACCAAAACACGTGGGGGCGGCCGGCGCTGGAAAAAAACTTCTCCAGGGCTGGCAGACACACAGCAGGCCTCAGGGTCGGGCAGGTCCTCCCACAGGCGGATGTCGGAAGAAACTCAAAACATAGTCCCCAGACTACTGCGATGCTGTGTTTGCACCTTCCTCCCGCACAGGGCAGTTTATTAAAAATGCATGGGATTTTAAAACATATAGGATTTTAGATACATTATTCACGTATGAATACATGTATGCATGAACTCATCGTTGCCTATAATACTAAAAATCCCTGCATGTTTAATACATGCTCCGCACGCGGAGCATGTATGAAAAACGGCACTGTAGTTGGCCAGGCCCGACGGAGCACGAGCGGGGGCGGCCAGCGCTTTGGACGCCCGAAATGGATACGGAAAGAATGGGCACTATGCCCAACAACAAAGGTTGTCACAAGCCAACAGCGGCCGCAGTTGGGCAGGCGGCCTTCTGTCTCGAATGGACACAGGCCGCGGCGGCGTGGACAGCGAGTCCTGTTCAGAATGAACAGGAACTGCTGTTGGGCATTGTACCCATTCTTTCCGTACCCATTCCGGGCGTCCAGAAGCGCGGGGAGCGCTGGCCGGGCCCGGCACGGCCAAGGCCCGCCGAGAGGAGCAGCCGCACGCGGGGCTGCGGCCCCCGGGCGGGAGAGGGCCCTGCGAGGTGCGCGGCGCTCGGCGGCCGCGGGGGGGCCAGGTCCACGCGCGCAGGGGGCAGGCGCTGGGGCTGCAGTCGGGGCGTGGACCTGAGGAACCCCAAATAAGGAGCGAGGCCCACTCTTGCCATAAGTTCTACTTCTATTTCCCATGGAAAACCTCGGGATGACCCGTGGCAGACTGTAAAACAGTCGAGGAACACCGAGCCCCTCCCCAACGAAAAGGGTTCCTTCTTCAGCGCCCCGACTGTAGGTCGGGCAGGGTCCTCCTACAGGCGGGCTCTGGACGAAAAACAGAAAGTATTAAACATACAAATAGGTTTAAACCATGACCTCAAGAAGACTGACAAAAGCGTCCCCATGCTATCTGTTGCCTTGTTTTCCCATATTCCTCCTGTAGGGGGACATGCCCGACGTGACGCTGGGGGGTAAGGAGGTGGGCCGGCAGTCGAGGTCACTCTGGCGACGGGTCAACTTTTACGCGGAGCCGAGGGTGGCAACGGGCTGACAAGACCGGGCGGAGCACGCGCCATGCAGGGGCCAGGGGGACTGGAAGAGCGGGCCCCAGCCACATTTCCGCCTCCTCTTGCCGTCGCTCGGACGTCCACTTCCCGTGCATGTTTCGGTCTCGTGCGTGTTGTTTTCTTGCTCGATAGTCCAGAATGGTCCTCGATGGTTCTCGCCGAGAAAGAATGCACACGTCCGAGCGATGCCAAGTCCTTTGCTCAGCGGGCGGGTATCAGCTTCGGACGCGGTGCGCAAGCGACATCGCTGCGGCCAACAGGAGGTATCGGGGCGAGCTCCGCCCGGAGCCGAAAGCCCCGACAGTCGCGACATGCTGCATGGGGTGCGTGGGCCCCTGGGCCCCGTCCCTGGGACCGCGGGCACTCGCCGTCGCTCGGACGTCCATTCCCTGAGAGCACTTTGCGGCTTCGCGCGTGGTTGTTGGCCCGATGGTCGAGGATGCTCCTCGGAGCTCCTCGCCGAGACACAATACACGCGTCCGAGCGATGCCAAGGTTGCTCGTGCTTTCGCCCGAGGCCTCCAGCGTCGAACGAAAGCCAGAGCGTGGTCTGACGCACAGCCTCTTGGAGCCCGGGGCGGGCCCCAAGAGGCCCCCGAAGGAGGAGGAGGAGGCACGGGCGTGCGGGAGAGCTCAGGCAGCAAGCAACGTCATGGTGGGGCGTTCCGCCAACAAGCGGGGGCGGCAGGCGCTGGAAAAACAGGCCAGGGCTGGCACAAACCACGCACGCCTCAGGTCGGGCGTATCCTCCCACGGGCGGATGTTGGCCGAGCAGGCCCGGTGCGGGCCCCAAGAAGGCCCCAACCGGCAGTGTGGGCGGCGGCCCTCGCCTCGGCTGCCCCTGCTCTGTCCCTGCTCGCCCGTGGCCCTCCCTGCCACCGAACCCCGCTGTCTGCGGGTCGCATGCTGCCGCATTGTATTTACATCCGCTCCTCGCTCCTCCTCGCTCCTCCTCGCTCCTCCTCGCTCCTGCTCGCTCCTCCTCGCTCCTCCTCGCTCCTCCTCGCTGCTCCTCCTCCTCCTCCTCCTCCTCCTCCTCCTCCTCCTCCTCCTCCTCCTCCTCGCTCCTCGCTCCTCGCTCCTCGCTCCTCTTCCTCCTCCTCATCCTCCTCCTCCTCCTCCTCCTTCCTTCCTTCCCCTCTCACGAGCTGCGAACATGTCCGTATCTGTGCCCTCGCGGCCTGGATTCCGCGGCGCCATCCCGCGGATGCGCGGTCGCGCGGACAGTCACGGCCACCGAGGGGCATCCGCGAAAAAGCGGCCCGTGATGCCCCGAGTTTGGACGCCCGAAATGGGTACGGAAAGAATGGGTACAATGCCCAACAGCAGCTCCTGTTCATTCTGAACAGGACTCGCTGTCGGTGTCGCCGCGGTCTGTCTCCATTCGAGACAGAAGGCCGCCTGCCCAACAGCGGGCCGGTGTTGGTTTGGGACAACATCTGTTGTTGGGCACTGTGCCCATTGTTTCCGTGCCCATTTCGGGTGTCCAAAGAAGTGCCCCTGGCCCAAGGTGCTCCCAGCTTTTCGCTCCATTTTGGAACCCCTGGGGCCTTCTGGGCATCGTGAGGGGCCGTCTGGGCCACCCCGAGAATCCTGGGGGTACCGTGGGCCAGGGGTACTTCTAGCAACGCCCGAAGAGTACCTTGGTAGCAAATCATGGGAGCCTGGTGTACCCTCTTGATTTTGTCTTCAGCGTCGGCTGCCGTCGAGGATCCGCGGGGCCGCGGCCCGGGGGCCCGGCCCGCGGGGCCGCGTGTACGCAGATGCTGCCGCCCCGACAGTGCTGTCATGGGCAGGATGGGCTCGAGAGGTGTGCCAAGGCTTTTGCGTGACATTGCGCGGCCCTCGCTTCGGCAGCCCGTGGCAGGAATGACATGGAGATAAACATTCGGAGGTCCGCGCGGATTTCTCGGATCGGCGCTGGACCCCCCTCCCTGGCGCGCGGAGCGCGCCAGGGGCGGCGCCGGAGGCGCCGCCAGGGGGCCCCAGCTCCGATCCGAGAAAATCCGCGCGGACCTCGGAGTTTGTATGTGTCATTGCTCGTTCCCCTAAATAGGGGTCGGGGATGGACAGACCCCCCTTTAGTAAAACCTGGTTTAGTGGAAAGCGACCTGAGGCCCAAACCTGGCGGGCGCACGCCTGGAAAAGAACGGCCACGGCGCCCTCTCGAGAGCCGAAAACGGGCAATTCACTAATCGACGTGTCACTGTTGGGGGTTCTGTCCACCCCCGATCAGAGCCATGACATCTTGCTCCTCCGGCACGGCCGAGGATGGAGCAAAGAACAGGGGGGTAGGGTCAGGTCGGGCATGTCCTTCTCCAGGCGGGTTTTGGACGAGGACTAGAAACTGATCCAAAAATGCTCAAACGTAGTCAAACAAACTATCGAAACATCGTCCCCAGGCTACTTTTTTTGAATATTCCTCCTGTAGAGGGACAGGCACTACTTGAGGGTAGGGGGGGCAGGAAGATACACCTCTCTCGTGCACCGTCGGGGCCCTGTCAAGGCCCCTTTCTCCGAACCGTCGAGGCGGCAGGCACCGACGGCAGAGGTCGGCGAGAAACGCCCGACTGCGAAACCGTGCGTTCCTGGACGGGGTGGACTGTCAGGCCCCTTCGGGGGTGGACAGAACCCCCAACAGTGACACGTCGATTAGTGAATTGCCCGTTTTCGGTTCTCGAGAGGGCGCCGTGGCCGTTCTTTTCCAGGCTTGCGCCCGCCAGGTTTGGGCCTCAGGTCGCTTTCACTAAACCAGACTTTACTAAAGGGGGGTCTGTCCATCCCCGACCCCTATTTAGGGGAACGAGCAATGACACATACAAACTCCGAGGTCCGCGCGGATTTTCTCGGATCGGAGCTGGGGCCCCCTGGCGGCGCCTCCGGCGCCGCCCCTGGCGCGCTCCGCGCGCCAGGGAGGGGGGTCCAGCGCCGATCCGAGAAATCCGCGCGGACCTCCGAATGTTTATCTCCATGTCATTCCTCGTTCCCCTTTATCAGGTCCCTATTGGCGATGGACGGGCGACCTGATGGGCCTGTTTTCCGCCACCACCAGAAGTTGAAGGTTGGAAGGAGGAGGAGGACGAGGAGGACGAGGAGGACGAGGAGGACGAGGAGGACGAGGAGGAGGAGGAGGAGGAAGACCCCGTCCCCCTCCAACTTAGGGTGGTGGTGGTGGTGGAACACAGGCACATCACGATACGTTCCCCCCTGAGCCTGTTCCCCCCCCCCCCGGCGCTGTTGTTCCCCATATCCTAAGATGGGGTTCTTGCTATTACTTGGGCGCCTCCTACTCCTTCTCCCTCTCCTCCGTCTCCCCCTCCTCATACCCAGACTTACCCACACTCAGCTTTCCTCATACCCAGACTTACTCAGACACAAACTTACTCATACTCAGACCTACTCATACTCAGACCTACTCCTACTCAGAGTTACTCGTGCTGAGACTCACTCATGCCCAGACTAACTAATACTCAGACTCCTCCCCCCCAGCGCTGTTTTTTTTTCTGGCTCTCACGCGTTCGCTCTCGGCCGACCGGCGGCCGCCAGGGGAACGACCTGGGACCCCCCCCCCGCACGCTCCCCGCGCGGCGCAGAGCTGCCGGAAAAAAACACCCCAAAGCTGGAAAACCGCCGAGGATCGACGAAAGACAACGCTATAGCAAACCTATGAAGGGGCCCTGGGACACACACAAATAAGTACACACAAACAACAGGATTCCCCATATTTTCTCATATTTTCAGGGTTTTTGTCTTCCCCCCCACTTCCCATATTTTCCAATATTTTCTGGGGAATCGACGATTCATTGTGTCTGTGTGTTTCTCTTCCTCCTGAACCTCGGACTTCGGACCTCGCCGTCTGCGTGGCTTCCCGTCCGCGGCCCCAGGGAGCTCCCGAAGCCCTCCCCCGCGGAAAGGTGCTGCGCCCCGGCTCTGCTTCCGTGGCCCCCGGGGCCCGAGGACGGCCCCCAGAGGCCGAGGCCGAAAGCGAGGAGATACGCACAGAGTGCTAGGGCTCCCAACTTCGCGCTTCGCGCTGCGCGAAGCGCGAAGCGCGAATAACTTCGCGCTCTCGCGCCGCCCTCCCAAAGGGAGAATAGGAGGACGAGGAGGAGGGGGAGAAGGAACGAGGACCGCGAAGCGCGAAGCGCGAATAACTTCGCGCCCTCGAGGGAGCCCTTGAGATTGCTGTTGTTTTTACACGTCGTCGGGGATCTGGGTGCATCGCCCCCCCCCAGGACCTCTCCTGGGGGGCGCTCTGACCAGAATGTCGAGGAGAGAATCCTACCGTGGCGACGAGGGTTCTCCGGGACGAGCAGGGGGGATCGGCATCTTCTTCTCGTCCGAGAGAGGAATTGGGTTCATCGCCCTCCCCACTAAGCAACGCGCCCGAGCGCAGACTTGGAAGCCCGGTATGGCTCTGGGAAAAAAATACGATACCCAAAAACAGGTGTCGTCTGAAATCGACAGCGACCACTGTTATGCAAGCGGCTTTCAGTCTCACATGGCAACGACAGCGAGCCCTGTTCAGAATGGAGTGGGCTCCGCACCGAGCGAAGTACGGCAAGAATGGGAACCACGACCGACAGAAGGTTACCTGTGGACGGAAAAGACGAGTACGAAGACCGGCAGAAATTACTACTGTCGGTCTTCGTACCCAGTATTTCCTACCTAAACACACGGTGCCCGCGCGAATTGCGACGTGACCAGCCCCTGCCCCCTGCCGCCCCCCCTCGTGACGCTAGTTATCGCCAGGGGAGGAATCGCTCGCCATCTCGACTCTTAGGTGGCTTTCCGGTCTCCTCTCGGCTCTCCAGCGGCCGTTCGGGACGATCTGGGCAGCCCCGCAGCGCCCTCGGCCAGGCGCAGCTCCTGGAAGGCACCCCGAGACTGGGGAACTGCCGGGGACCGGCGAAAGCGCACGAACACCTTCGCCTTCGCACCCGCTCTCGCCGCGCCCGCCTCGACGAGGATGAGGTCGACTGCACGCGCAAGAGTGACCCTGGGCATGAGAGTGACCTCTGGCGCGCGGCTCCTTTTGGGGCCGCGGGGGGGACGAACACACGCGCGCAGGCCGCTGATATCGCGTCGCATTCGGCGATCGGAGGCGGGGCCCAAATGGGCCCGCACCAAAGGTCCCTCCCGCGAAGGGTCACTCTCTTGCGTGCCATCGACGCGAGGAGCAGCGCGCCACCCGGCGCGCCTGCGGCACCGGTGGCAGCGTGTGGGTGCTGACCGGCACCGGCGGGCCGCTGGGCACGGGCGCCTCGCCACCGACCGGGCGCGCGCGCGCCGCCGTGCGTCGGTGCGTCGTCGGGCGGTCCAGCGTCTGGAGCAGAGATCGGGCGGGCGGTACTGGGGGGAACCCAGACTCAGACCCCCTCGCGCTGCGAAACAATCTCGACGGGAAAGTTTTGCATAATTTTCGGCCTCCGGGGGCCCTTACTGGGCCCTGCGACCATCAAAAAACGACTCAGGATGAAAAACCGGTCCCGGGGAAGGGGTCCAGACATCTAGGGGTCGACATTGTGAAAAAAGGCCCGATGTCGGGAGTCTGGGAATGGGAGGGTGGAGAAACAGGCCCTCAAGGGGCACTTCCCGTGCTGGCTCCAAAAGGGGGCCTAAGGGGCGCCTTCAGGGCCCCTTTTTCCCTCCCCGATACTGTGGAGGCCAGTCCACAAGAAGCCTTCCACAAGAAATCCAACCCTGAGACCCGAGGACTTCCTCTCATAAATGGCGTGGGAGCGTCACGCTCTCCATAGCAAAACCATCGAATCCCAAACCCAAGAAACCCAGGGCATCCTGGAAGCAAGCAAGGAGGAGGAGGAGGAGGGGGAGGAGGAGAGGAGGAGGAGGGGAGGAGGAGGAGGAGGAGGAGGGAGGAGGAGGAGGAGGAGGGGAGGAGGATGGAGGAGGAGGAGGAGGGGGGGCGCACAGGGAGGATCATGACGATGATCGGAGGAGGGGGAAGAGGAGGAGGAGGAGGAGGAGGAGGTGGAGGAGGAGGATGAGGAGGATGAGGAGGAGGAGGAGGAGGGGCGTACAGGGAGGATCATGACGATGATCGGAGGAGGGGGAAAGAGGAGGAGGAGGAGGAGGAGGTGGAGGATGAGGAGCAGGGTGTTCTTTGGCGTGGGTCTCCACTGCAGTACCACCCGCCAGAGAAGCGAACAGGGCAGCTGCGTGTCCGCCGACGTCGGCCTCCGGGGGCCCTCCCCGGGCCCCCGGGGCCCGAGAGGAGACTCGGGGTGGACCGCTGGCCCCTGGGGACTTCCGGGGGCCCCGTGCTGGAAAGTCAGATCTAGAGGCATGATTCGACTGCAGAGCTACATGTCGGTCGGAAGAAGTAGGACTTCCGGGGGCCCCGTGCTGGAAAGTCACGTCTCGAGTAATTGTTCGACTGCAGAACTACACGTCGGTGGGAAGAAGTGGGTAGAAGCATGAAGTAGGACAGCGGATAAAGTAGATTGGGCCCAGGCCCCCCCCCAGGGAATAACAAAACACAGCAACAGCAAGCCGATTCTTGAAGTAGGAAGGCGCTTGAAGTAGATTGGGATCTGGGAATCCAAAAAGACCGACTTTCAACGACCGGCGTGCAATGATTCGACTGCAGAACTAATGCAACCCCAAAATTGATCTGCTCACCGAAACGACGGAACGGAAACGTAAACATTGCATGGACTCGACGAACAGCACAATTCTGGGGTAAACCAATTCTATGGTCGATCCCCGAAAATAACCGCATGTCTGGGCACGTCGTCGAACGTCGTGCGTCGTCGTCTGCCGTCTGTCGTCGGAGCCGCCGTCGCCGCTGCAGTTATATCGGAAGCCGCCGCCGCCACCGTCGTCGTCTGTCGTCGTCCGTCTTCGTTGCACGTCGTCTACATCGGCGGTCGCGGGCGGGTGGTAGTGGGGGGTCACCCAAATGGGGGATGAAGAAAAAGGCCCGACATGGGCTCTTTAGGGCCCCTTTCGGAGGCCTTCTGGCTCCAAAACGACCCCAAAGGGCCCCTTTAGGGCCCTTTTCTTCCCCCCCCATTTGGGTCACCCCCATCACCGCCCGCCCGACGGTCGTTGCCGTCGGGGAGGACACAAGACGGAGAGGAAGAGGAGGGGGGAGGGAGGGGGGATGACGTTTCCGGACATGTTGTGCGGGTACGGTATGGGGATGTGTTGGCGGTCTCCAATGGTGTCTCAAAACGTTGCTGTAGGAGCAGTTCCAAAAGGGCGGATAGTGAGGCATGAGAGGAGAGAGATGAAAGAAGCAATTAGGAGGGCGGAGGCAGAGGAGAGAGAAGCAGGGATCTAGGAGAGCTATAGATCCACCACCGCGCTTGCTTGCAGCGGTTGCTGTGCCGGATTGTTGTATTTCGTTAGTCTTACTCTTGCGAAGGCCCAACATTGGTTAATCTGCTTGGCCCAGCCCAGTTCCCACGGCTGCTTCCTCCCCAAGGAGTAGTGGCCCAAACATCAGTCGCGCAGATACGACCTTCCACAGAAACTGCGCCCCGCGCCCGCACCCGAAGTGGTGTCCAAGTTTGCCCGAGATGGTCCAAGATGGTCTTCACGACGGCACAGAAGGGTTCAGGATGCCTTCAAGTCGACCCAAGGTGCCTCCAAAACGGCCCAAGAGGCCCCAAAGAGGCCTCCAAGACGGTCCCAGTGGCCTCCGAGAGGTCCTCCAGGAAGGCCCGAAGAGGCCAACACCACTTATTTGTCTTAAGGTTTTCTGACGGAGTTTGACATTTGCTTCTTTTCGGCCTTCCGACGGCCCGAGACGGCCCAAGAGCCCCCAAAGATCGCCCCCACAGCGCCCAAGAGGCCTCCAAGATTGCCTCAGAACGGTCCAAGAGGCCCCCGGAGAGCGACAAGACGGCCCAAGAGGCGTCTAAAACGCCCACGATTGCCTCCAAGACGGCCCTGGAGAACCCCAAGAGGGCCCCAGTCTGCCCAGAGAGGCCCCCAAGACAGCTTCCGACGGCCTCTGACGAGCCAGGGGCCCACCAAGATGGCCCAAGATGGCTCTAAGATGGCCCAAGACGGCGAGGCCCCCAAGAGGCCTCCAGGACAGCCCAAGAAGCCTCCAAGAGGGCCTCCAGAAAGGCCGGAAGAGGCCAACATCACTCATCTTCCTCAGGTTTTCGATGGATTTGGGCATTTGCTTCTTTTCAGCCTTCCGACGGCCCGAGACGGCCCAAGAGACCCCAAAGCTCGCGCAAGGATCGTCCAAGCGGCCTCCAGGACGGTCCCAGAACGGCCCAAGAGGCCCCGACGGCCCAAGATGCCTCCAAGACGCCCACGGTGGCCTTCAAGACGACCCTGGAGCACCCCAATTAGGCCCCCAGTCGGCACAGAGAGGCCCCCAAGACAGCTTCTGACAGCGCCTGATGGGCCAGGACCCCACCAAGATGGCCACAGAGAGGCCCCCGGAAATTACCCAAATCAGTTATCGTCCTAAGGTTTTTGCAAGATTGTGGCATTTGCGTCTTTTCGGCCTTCCGACGCCCCGAGACGGCCCAAGAGCGAAGAAAGATCGCCCAAGAGGCATCCAGGACGGCCCCAGTACGGCCCAGGAGGCCCCCAAGACGGCGCCAAGAGGCCCCCAGACGGCCCAAGAGGCCCCCTGAAGTGGCCAAAATCATGTATTTCCCAAAGGTTTTTGCAGGATTGCGGCGGTTGCTTCTTTTTAGCCTTCCGACGGCCCGAGACGGCCCAAGAGCGAAGAAAGATCGCCCAAGAGGCATCCAGGACGGCCCCGGTACGGCCCAAGAGGCCCCCAAGACAGCGCCAAAAGGGCCCCCAGACGGCCCAAGAGGCCTTCAAGACGCCCTGGATGGCTTCCAAGACGGCCCTGGAGCAACCCAAGAAGGTTCCCAATCGGCTTCCGACGGCGTCGACCGGGCCAGGAATGCCCTGAGACGGCCAAAGAGGCTGCCGAGAAGCCCCAAAAGGCAGAAAGAAGCAAATAAGAAGCAAATGCCAACACCCTTCAAAAACATTGGGAGAATCCGCCGATCCGACGTGTGAACTACAAGGAGTCTCAGCAAGAGCTTCAGCTCTGAGCCTAAGCAAGCTTCAGCTCTGCTTTGGGGGGTCGCCAGGGTGGCTCTGCCGGGGAAGGGGGTGAGGGGGGTGGCGGTCCCCAATCTGGCGTTTCCTCAATGATTTGCGCATCCCCAAGATGTCTCGGGGGTTCCCAGGGACCCCCCCCAGATCTAGCCGCTACCACCCCCAGGACCCTACCCTCGGAACCCTCACCGACCCTCCGAGGACACCCCCAGGACCGCTGCAGGCAGCCCCCCAGAGGAGAAGAAAGATGACCAGAAGAATCGAGGAGGGAGAAGGCCACAGAGCCGCGAAGATCACCGAATCCGGAGCCCCCCAGATCGGCGGCACTGGCCCGAGGCCATTCAATGACTTTGGCCTCTTCGGGCCTTCCTGAGGCCCTTTTGGAGGCATCTTGGGCCGTATTGGGCCATCTTAGAACCATCTTGGGCCGTCTTGGTGGGCTCCTGGCCCGTTTGACGCCGCCGGAAGCCGTCTTGGGGGCCTCTCTGGGCCGACTCGGGGCCCTCTTGGGGTTCTCCAGGGCCGTCTTGGAGGCGTCCTGGACCGTTTTAGACGCCTCTTGGGCTGTCTTTGGGCCCTGTTGGGGCCGTCTTGGGGGCCCCTTCGGCAATCCTGAGGCCATTTTGGAGGGCTCTTGGGCGCTGTGGGGGCGATCTTGGAATCCTCTTGGGCCGTCTTGTGCCATCGCATGGCCGAACAAGAGCAAGTACCATCACCTAAGAAAATTCCATGAATTTCTCCTCTTCGGGCCCTCCTCGAGGACCTCTCGGAAACCTCTGAGGCCATCTTGGAGGGCTCTTGGGCACCTCTCGGGCAGTCTTGGGCTTGGAGGCTTCTTGGACGGTCTTGTAAATACCTTGGACCCTCTTGAGCCGTCTTGGAGGCCATCTTGGCCATCTTGGAGGCATCTTGGAGGCCAATGTGGGCCATCTTGGAGCCGTCTGGAGCAGGAAGAACCTTGGCAACCGGGTCTTCCGGGTGGCCGGCGGGACGGGCCGAACCCCCAGGGGAGAGCTCTTTTGGAAAAAAACAAAACCGAACGGGTCTAGCACGCCAAGCACCCCTGTGGCAAGCACAGGGGGAAGGAGGCCCCCACGATGCCTCCAAGAGGCTCCCGGGAAGTTCCCAGGAGGCCAGAGTGCCCCCAGAAACTCCCAAGACGCCCCGTCCTCCTCCTTATCCTCCTCCTCATCTTCTCCTCCTTCTGCTGCTCTTCCTCCTCCTTCTCCTCCCCCTCCTCCTGATCTTCCCCGCCGTCCTCCCCCAGTTGTTCCCAGAAGGGCTTCCACAACGGTTGGGGGAACACATGGTCCGATAGTTTGGCAGAGCTCTTTCCACACCGCTCGATCACATGGGCGATTTCAAACCTCCTGATCCCCCACGCGTTCCCCGAATGCTCTCCAAACCGACTCGGGGAACAACTGGCCCGATAGCTTGGCCAAGCTATAGCCCAGCTGTCGGCCACACAGGCGCTTCCACAAGGGCAAGGGCGGCGTGATTCGCCGTAGGCGTCTTCGATACTGCTATTCGCCCGCTAGCGAGATAGGCGACCGCGCTCCGCTTCTCGCAAAGCCACAACTCGCAAATGGCCCAGATCCGCCGCCGGGGGGGGGTAAGGTCCATGACATACGGAGGAGTACCTATTCTTTCTCGGACGTCTGCGAGGAGGCACTCTGCGAAGAGTGGAACGCGCTCGGTGATGATTGGCGGCGCGCAAAAAGGGGTAGAGGGAGGGGGGAGGCTTCTTAGAAGCACTCCGCTTCTTAGAAGGCCTGGGCCTTACGTCTATAGAGAAGGCCCGCGCCATCTTAAGAAGCAGGGGTGCTTCTAAGAAGCCTTCCCCCCTCCCCCTACCCCCCTCTGCGCGTTGCCGAGATGAGAGGCCGCGACGATGAGAGGAGTCTGTGGGGAAAAACACACAAATCAACACACACACACATGTGTGCGTGTTTTTGTGTTTTGTGTGTGTGTTGTTGTGTTGTTGTTTTGTTTTGTTGTTTTGTTTGTGTGTTTTTTTCGCAGCGACGGCGGCCGCGGCGGGAAACGCGCCGTCATCACGGGCTCCACCATGCCGGGCATCGCCTCGGCAGACGGTGCGGGCCGGCCGGCCCACCGGAGACGAGAGCCCGCCGCTGGCCCCGCGGAGCCCCGGGCTGCGGCCGCGCCGTCGCCCGCCGGGGGCCTGCCTCCCGGCCCCTCGAGGGGCGAGGAGGGCGCTGGGGCGTCTTCGGCATGCTGTTTCGTTGAGCGTGGCCTGGGCCCCCCCCCCCCCCTCTGGCCATCGCTCGGACGTCCATTCCCTGCGCTTCTTTCGTTTTCGTGCGTAGGGTTTTTGGCCAAATGGTCAAGGATGCTCCTCGATGGTCCTCGCCGAAGGAACACTGAACACGTCCGAGCGATGCCAAGCCCTTGGTTGGGGATATAGGCTGTCCCCTTCGAGCTTCGAGGGGCAGATCCCCAACTGACTGAGGCGCTGGCATGGCGGGGTTCGAGCCCTTCCGTCAAGCTGGACGCTCTCGCGGCTGGGGGAGGAGAAGATGGAGAAGGAGGAGGAGGAGGAGGAGGAGGACCAGGAGGAGGACCAGGAGGAGGAGGAGGAGGAGAAGGAGGAGAAGGAGAAGGTAGAGGAGGGAGTGGTCGCCAAGGCTGGCTGCCAGAATGCAGCCGACCAGGACTCTGAGGGAGGACACGGAGAAGAGGAGGCGGAGGCGCTGGGGGGAGACTCGCCTGCGCCCGAGGCGAGCCTTCTCCCTCTCGATCCTTCTCTCGATCTTCCTCCTCCTCCTCCTCCTCCTCCTCCGTATCCTCCTCCTCTTCTTCTTCTTCTTTTCTTATTCTTCTTATTTTCATTATTACTATTATTATTGTGTTATTCGCACTAGTATTATCATTATTGTTGTTATCATTGGTGGCATTCTGACTATTACGATTATGATATGTCTGTTTCTTCTTTCTCTTCTTCTTCCTCTTCCTCTTCTTCCTCCTCCTCCTCCGCTCCACGACGAGGGTGGCGCCTCGCTGCGCGACCTCGCGCGCGCGCGGGCGAGACTCCCGCACGGGGGAAGCGGCCTAAGACATCGGCGGGTTCCCGCTCCGCGACGTGCGGTCCGCGGCGACACGCGCACGATGACATCCTTCGGGGATGGACAGACCCCCCTTTAGTGAAACGTGGTCTAGTGAAAACGACCTGAGGCCCAAACCTGGCGGGCGCGAGCCTGGAAAATAACGGCCACGGCGCCCTCTCGAGAACCGAAAACGGACAATTCACTAATCGACGTGTCACTGTTGGGGGTTCTGTCCACCTCCGAATCCTACAAGATCGCTCAGGAACTCTCAAGGATCTCCAAGAAGGATGTCCCAGGATTCCGTCCGAAATCTGAAGGGCCACTCCTGCCTCCTCCTCGTGCTGCCTTACACGTCGGTCGGAAGAAGTGGTAAAAAACATGAAGTAGGAAGGCGGATAAAGTAGATCGGGTCCAGGCCCTGACACATAATAACAAACACAGCACAAGCATATCGATTATTGAAGGAGGAAGGCGCTAGAAGTAAATTGGGATCTGGAAATCCAAGAACACCTACTTTCAACGACCGACGGGTATGAACCCCCATCGTCCCCTCGCTCCCAAACATCCGGTGTCTTGAGTTGTTCAATACGGGGTCCACGGAGGTCCCGACCCTTCCCCAAGGCCAGCGGTTCATCCCGAGTCGTTTCTCGATGGTGCCAGGACCGGCGAGGGCCCCCAGAGGCTGGGAACAACCCACAAACGTCCCGTCGCACTGTTTTCACGACGCGAGCATGTCTGGTTTTCGGGCCGTAGCTCGGATCCCTGGCGGCCCCCGTTGAAGACGATCTGGGCCCCCCGGACACCCTCGCTGACACGCACCTGCTGGAGCGCATCATGAGAAAAGGCAACATTTAAGAACCGACGAAAACGGCATAACGCCTCCTCCCGTCGCGGCGAGTTCTTCACGACGCATGCATGTCAGAGGAGGATCATCGAGTACAGATTCCCCCTCTTCTGCGGCAACTCACTGGAGCCTCCCATACCATCTTGTTGGCTCTTGCGAATCGACGCCAATCGACGCTAGTCGACACTAACCGACTCTAAGTCTCTGCTCTCATCGATGTTGAGACGCGAATCAACGCTAGTGGACGCGAAGGACGGAATTACGTAGGTAATTATAACTACAAGGCTTCCATGATTTGCTACCGAACCCCTCGGACCCCTCCTGGGTCGGGAAGCGAATGATCCGGGTCAATGCAAGCCAGGGTCAGTCAAGCCTCGCAGGATCCCGCAAGATCATGTGGGATCCTGCGCGCCAGCCAAGGTCAATGCGACCGTGGCTCTGCAAGGTCTGGCAAGACCTGGCGCTCTGGCTGACCCCCGTTGGCATCGAGGCCTCCTAGATGGGGTCGGAGCAGATGGGGTCAGAGGGTCGCGCCACGTCGCCGATGCATTGGCGATGCGCTGGCGACGTCGGCCATGCATCGGCGCCGTCGGCGTGCAGAACATCGGGCTCCACACCGAGCCGGGCTGCCGATGCGGCGCGAGCCTCCGGCCCCAGCTGCTCGGACCCCACCTGGGAGGCCTGGCTGGCACCGACCCCCCGTCTCTCGGGGATGGACAGAGCCCCCTCTGGCACTGCGTGGCTTCGTGAGAGCGACCTCGGGCCCAGACCTGGCGGGCGCAGGCCTGGAAAACGACGGCCGCGGCGCCCCCTCGAGAACCGAGGACGGACAGCTCACGGATCGACGTGCCAGGGCGGACGGAAATCTGTCCGCCCCCGAGCATCGGGGCCCTCGCCCGGGGCCCCCGCGTCCGGCACCGGCATCATCATCGGCTGCGCGGGCATGGCCGACACGGTGGAGAGGCCGCCCGCGGGCGGGGCGGCGTAGGTGGTCGCGGTGGGGGCCTGCCCCGAGCGCGCTGCGCGGGAGGCAAGGGGTGCTAAAGGGGTGCTAAAGGGGGCCCCTCCCTCCACTCTGCACCCGCCTCCTTCCCCAGTGGTGATGGCGCTGAGGGTGGTGCTGCTGATGCGGGATGCTGCTGCGGATGGTGTTGCTGACGATGATGCTGATGCTGGCGCTGGTGATGAGGATGGTGATGACGGTGGTGGTGATGAAGGTGTTGGTGCCGGTGGTGGCGATGGTGATGCTGCTGATGATGGGGATTATGATGATGATGATGATGATGATGATGATGATGATGATGATGATGATGATGATGATGTGATGATGGTGATGATGATGGTGATGGTGATGATGGTGATGATGATGGTGTGCAGACGAAGATGAAGATGAAAACGATGAGGAATGTGCTTATGTTTATGCTTATGTTGATGGTGATCTGTCCACCTCAATCTCGACATCCTTTTTCGCCTCCTTCCTCGACCTCCCTTTCTCCATGCCCCTCTTCCGCTATATCATGGTTGTTGCCCTCTCCGCGCTCACTCCTCCCCTCCCCCCTCCCATCCTCACGTCTTCCCTCACTGGTTCACCTCCTCCTCCACTCTCTCCAACCACCCTCTCTGCGCCCCCATGTGTTCCCCCCTCCCCCTCGCCCGCCCATGTTCGTTCGCCTGCCCTTCCACCTCCGGCCCCGCACCTGCCACCCCCCCTCTTCCCGCTGCTCTGCTCCTTCCATCTATACGCCCTCCGCCGCCTCCTGCTCCTCCAGACGCGAACGACACGTCCCATAGAGCCATAACACCCGAGGATGCGTTCGACCCACCCGAGAAGCTTGGACGCCGCCAGGCGAGGATCGATCTGCGTGTGGCACTACTCTGCTTGGCCACACCACCCACCAGGGGGGCGGGAGGGCAACGGCGGTGGCACACCTGGCAGCACCCAGGAAAGCGAGGCGGAAAATGTGGTCAATATCCACCACCTAGGTCGGTGGATATGGATACACGCCGGTCGGAAGACGTAGGTAGAAACATGAGGTATGAAGGCGGACAAAGTAGATTGGGTTCGGGCCCGCACGGACAATAACAAAACACAACCAACCACATCGATCAATGAAGTAGAAAAAGATTGAGATCTGGCAATCCAAAAACGCCTACTTCAAACGACCTGCGTGTATTAAATGGCCCGGAGGGGCCCGAACACATCCGTGTCCGCCGCTGCCGGGGTCCCCGAAGGACGATTCCCCAGGCGGTGGTGATGGGCGAATCCCCGCCTCGGAATGAGGGCGCTTGCCATCGCTCGGACGTCCATTCCCTGTGCAGTGATGATCTGGAAACAATGTGAGCGCTTTCTTATTCGGCGTTGCGACATTGGGCGGAATGGTGGGGGGAGGGAGGGGTGGTTGTCATTGTTTGCAACCGTGCGTCCATTATGTGGGAGACTCCACCTGCTCGAAACAGGCGCCAAAAACAGCCAAGATCTACCCCGTGGGGGGGAGGGAAGGGTGCGATGGCCAACGCCGATCGGCAAAAAAATGAGTAAGGAAACTATCACAATTTGGTCCCATGGGGCCCGAGTTATATATCCGCATACGCCGCCTGCCGAGGACCCCGACGGACGATTTCCCAGGTGGTGGTGATGGGTAAATCCCCGCGCTTGCCATCGCTCGGCTGGCCATTCCCCGTGCACGCTCTGCGTCGTGTATTGAAGTTTCGCAGGAGGCTCCAAGATGCTCCTCGAGGGTCCCCGCCAAGGAATGATGCGCACGTCCGAGCGATGCCGAGGGCGAGGTCCCATTGAGCCACGCACGAGTCCGCGCTCCGCAGGATCACTCAAGGGGGCGCAGAGAGAAGCGCGGCGAAAAACTGCACGCCTGACAACACCCCGGTAGGAGGGGTGGGGTCCCGTGGAACCTGTGTGTGTGTGTGCGTGTGCGTGTGCGTGTGTGCGTGTTTTCCCTTTGCGTGTGTGTGTGTGGTGTGTGTGGTGTGTGTGTGTGTGTGTGTGTGTGTGTGTGTGTGTGTGTGTGTGTGTGTGTGTGTGTGTGTGTGTGTGTGTGTGTGTGTGTGTGTGTGTGTGTGTGTGTGTGTGTGTGTGTGTGTGTGTGTGTGTGTGTGTGTGTGTGTGTGTGTGTGTGTGTGTGTGTGTGTGTGTGTGTGTGTGTGTGTGTGTGTGTGTGTGTGTGTGTGTGTGTGTGTGTGTGTGTGTGTGTGTGTGTGTGTGTGTGTGTGTGTGTGTGTGTGTGTGTGTGTGTGTGTGTGTGTGTGTGTGTGTGTGTGTGTGTGTGTGTGTGTGTGTGTGTGTGCGTGTTTTCCCTTTGCGTGTGTGTGTGTGTGTTTGTGTATGTCTGTGCGTGTGTGTGTGTGTGCGTGTGTGTCTGTGCATGCTTGTGTGTGCGTGTGTGTGTATGTGTCCGTGCGTGCTTGTGTGTGCGTGCGTGTGTGTATGTGTGTGCGCAGTACGATGGACCACTCTTGGGACGCAGCAGAAATTAGGTAGTCTTTTTGGGAGCTCATTCTAACGTATACCGCCTCGGTTCTGTAGCCTCTATTGACCTTTAGCAACCTCCAGTGTATATTAACGGCCTTTAGTGGCCTCTGGTCGCCTTCTAGCAGCCTTTCGTTGCCCTTAGCGGCATGTTGCAGTGGCCTTCAGCGGCCTTCAGTAGACTAGAGACAAAGAAAATGCACCCTCTACGTTAGAATGACCTTCCACACAAATACCCACTGTACAGAGAAGCTGAGACGATGCGCGCCCGGCAACACCCAGGACGGGTCCCCGCTCCAATGGAATCCGCCAAGCGGCGCAGGAGAGCAGCGATGGTTGCGCGCGCGGCGGCACCAGGGAGGGGCGAGGTCTATGGCCTATGGTTCCGCACGTGTCGCACTATAGTGGTGCCCCAGGCTCGCAGACAAGTGGACGCTCCGCTTGAAAACCCATGGGCGCCGCAGGGGAGGAAGAGGAGGGTGGTAGACTCCTTTCGTCTTCCACCTCCTTACTCCTGCTCCTGGCACTGCACAATCAAAACCGATCACGAGGACGGAATGTCAGGATGCAAGGCACCTAGACGCACCAAGATGCCACGGCACCGTTGGACGGAGGAAGCCAAACCCTACCAACGGCGCTCCGGAACCGAGGAGATGACATGGCGCCTTGCAGTGCCCTGTCCTCAGCGCCTCCCGCCTCGTACGCACTGCGCACCCCGCCTCGTCCGCAGCCAAGCCTGCTCGAGAGAGCCCCAATGACTGCCTACCAGACCACCCCAACCCAACCCGAAGACCGGAATTTCGGGATTGGGGGGGTATGGGTTCCACACGTGTCTTTTCGATACGGCTCCCCAATGGAAATGGATGGCAAATTGGGGCCTTCGGGTTGGGTTGGGGTGGTTTGTGAGTATCGTTTAACCGATCCCCATCCCCAGCGGCGTGGCCTGGGCCCCACTGGCCGACTTACCCCCCTAGATGGGGATATAGGTCGTTCCCATCGGGTTTCGAGGGGTATCCCCAACTGGGGGGGTAATTTGGTGGGGGTCTCGAAGGGGATGGGGATGGGGATGGGGATTGGTTAAACGATGCCGAGTTTGGTTGGCGGTGATCCAAGCAAGACGAGTCGTCGGTCCAGTGCTGATGCAAAACCGCGCCAATGGGTGCTCCTCGTCCGTTTTGAGTGTCCTGCAACCGGACCGGGGTGCCAGCGCCTTGCTTCAAAGTTGGAGGCGGCCGGGGGGTCTGAGCCGGGTGGGCCCCGAGGAGATCGGTCAACAGGGGGGGGGGCTGGGGGCATGTCCGCTCCGCCGCTCAACGTCGGTCCCCAGATCCCTGCCCGGGTCTATCCGGTGCAGCTCTGCACCCCTGATCTGTCTTTGACGGGCCCGGGGTCCGAAAACGGACCCCGGAGACCGAAGGCGACGAGAAAGCGTCTCGAACCGCGAACCTGGCCAGAACCCATGCCGGTCTCCCTCGGGCCCCCAGCTGGCTCCCCAGGAGATCTGAGGCTCATCCTTGACGTCAGTCTGACTGCAAGGCCGCACTGGACGAGACCGCTCCGCCCGCGCGCCAGCGGCGCAGGCGGCCTGCGGGTGACGAGGCGTGGTGTGCGTGCTGCGGGGAGGATATCTGCACACGGCGGGTGCACGTCGGGATGACGTCGGCGCCGGCTTCGGACACCGCGTGGATCGCTCAGGCTTGGAGCTCTGAGGGCGATACCCTTGGTCATCTGGTTGGGGGGGTGGGGTGCCGGCCGATAGCCTGACATTTACGCTTCGAGCAGCCCCACGCACGCACGCGCGCTCCAATACTGCGCACCCCCTTTCGGACCTGCACAACAGACAGAATCAAAGTATCCAGGGGGGGCGCGATGACCCGGGTTATTGCCAGCCCCTACAGAAACACACATCTTGAACGATCGCGACTTTCCGATGGCGCCAATCGGTCGGTACATATCGGCCGATGCATGGCCGCTGGTGGCGTTCAACCGGGCACGCCCGCGCTGCGGTCGCCGCTGCATCAACGCGGTGAGAGACTACAGTACCCTTTCTGTCCCTGGAATGTTGCTGGCGCCCAAGACGGCATGTGTGGGCTCGGTGTGTGAACTGGTTGGGGCCGAGATCAGCCAGCTTCGAGCTTCGAGCTGTTACAGGCGCGATCATCTTCGTGCCCCCGGTTCAGAAGACGCTCCTGGGAGCCTTTCGTAAGCATCTAAGTGGCCACAGTGGCTCCTCCAATGGCCACCATTGGACCCCAGCGGCCCCCCGCAAGCCTAGAGCCGCTTCCAGTGCCTCCTTCAATGGCCCCCCCGCGGCCTCCAATGGCCTCCAGCGGCCTCCCGTGACCCCCAGTGGCCTCCAGTGGCCCGAGCAAACGACTGCGGACCACTGGAGGCGCAGAAGAACCAGGCCGACGGACAACAAGAGGCTCCCAAGATCGTCTTCTGGACCCCGGGGTTGAAGATGGAGGGGGGTGGAGGGAGGGAGGGGGGAGGCCTCGAAGCGCGGAGCGAGCTCCTCTCCGCTCTCATCTGGACCTCGCTACGGCCGAGTGCCGAGGCCTCGGTGCGCACAGGACTCCAGCGCTGCACGGGCAGGCGGAGGCGAGCGGGCAGGCCGGTGCGGGTTCGGGCACTCATCCTGGCTGAGCCGGACGACACCGACGGTCCACCTGCAACGAGCTTGATGGGCCCATGCTCAACCACCACTGCCATATGTAGGAGAGGGAGGAGGAGTAGGAGGAGGACCTCCTCATCTTCCCTTCTTCTCCCCCGTCCTACAGCTGGTAGTGGTGGTGGAGAATTTGCCCATCAGATCGAGGAACGGCCCCAAGAAAGGCGCCTTCCCAGCGAAGCCAGTTCCTGAGCCGAGGACGGGCCTGGCCACGATCGGCGTGGTACATCTTGAGAACGGGCAGGCCATCCCAGTAGTACGATGGGCCTACAGTCGGGGCCCTTCCACAAGAAACCTTCCACAAGAAACCCAATCCTGAGACCCCAGAACGTTCATAGATGTTTGGTGTGGGCACGTCGCGCCTTCCACAGCAAAGCCATCGAAACCCCAAGAAACCCAGGGCACCCTGGAGGCAAGCAGGGTCTTTCTTGGCATGGGCTTCCACTGTACCTCATTGTGTTATACGGGCTTCGGGGTTGCACTCTGCTCAATGATCGAGATCCCAGCTGATCAGTGGGTCGAGCATGCTAAAGCAAGGGTACCCTTGTGTCCTGTGTCTCGCGACCCATACCGTCTACTTTCCCCTGGCGATGCGGCCCTCCGAAACGTCTTGTGTCCTCTCGCGCGTCCTCTCCAGTCAACCCCGACTGGAACGACCTTACGCCGCGGCTTGCGCGGGGCGCCAGGGCTGCACGCGAGGGCGCTTACGCGCGAATGTCAAGACGGTCTCGCTTTTCTGCGTCGCTCAGATGGCGATGAGGAAGTTAGGCTAGGCAACGAGCTGGGTCAGACACTCATCCTGCGTGTGAATTCCTCGGCCTCGCTTCGGGGAGCGTGCGAGGGCGCAAGGGCAACGTGCGAGGGAAGGGGCAAAAGAGCAAAGCGACCCAGCACCGCCCCACCGGCATGTACACCGGCGGAGCGTTGGTGTAGATGGGGGCCATGGGCGCCCGCCCCAGCTCGGTCGTGACCGGCGCGGCGTACCTGTCGGGTGCACTCCTCCTCCTCCTCCTCCTCCTCCTCCTCCTCCTCCTCCTCCTCCTCCTCCTCTTTGCGCTGGGCGGGCTTGGGCAGCTTGGGCACCGAAACTGAAGCGTTTGCGCTCCTCCTCCTCATCCACCTCCTCCTCATCCACCTCCTCCTCCTCCTTCGCCTCCGCCTCCTCCTACTCCTGCTCCTGCTCCTCCTGCTTCTCCTCCTCCTCCTCCACCTCCTCCTCCTCCTTCGCCTCCGCCTCCTCCTACTCATCCTCCTGCTCCTCCTGCTCCTCCTTCTTCTCCATTCCTCCTCCTCCTGCTCCTCCTGCTCCTCCTCCTCCTCCGCCTCCTCCACCTCCACCTCCACCTCCTCCACCTCCTCCTCCTCCTCCTCCTCCTCCTCCTCCTCGCCGCTGTTCTCTGCCACTCCAGCCCGCGGCTCCCGGCCCCGCTCGACGGCGTCCCAGACGTCTCAGGCTCTGCCCCTCTGCGCGGTGACGGGGGGGGAACCGCGGCGGGGCTCGACCGAACTGGTGTTTGCCGTCTTCGTGTTGTGGTCGTGCTCTCTCATTGTGCTTCATCCCGCCCGTGCTGCACAAGGAGATCAAAACTGAGACGGTCCCACGAAACTGCCAAAACTGGGAAGACCAAAAGGTACCGATACCGCTAGTCCCCGGACCTCTCCCGGGGTGCGATCTGACCAAAATCTCGAGGCGAATCCAACGGTGGCGACGAGAGACTCCGAAGACGCCTGAAAAGGGGAAAACGGGCGAAAGTAAGAAGTTTGGGAACCTTTTCTTCTTCTGATAACACCGCTTTGGTCGAGCCAGGAAAGACAAAGTACAGTCAACCCGTATCATAAGGATGCGCGATAAGGATGTAAGGGCCTTGGACGCCCATTTCGGAGCTTCTCGACGGGGCGCGGCCACTGAAAGTGGCCAAGGATGGACAGAAGAGGCAAGGATGCGAGGGTATCCTTGGGAAGGTTTCCTATCCTTCCTATGCGGGCTGACTGTATGCGGTACCCGGGCACGTCCGATGCCCCGCGCTTGCCAGGCAGGACGACGCGGGGATTTTCCCTTATTACTGAGCGGCTCCAGCCGCGAACATCGACCCCAGGGAGCGCGCAGGAGGGAGTGGGAGGACCTCGAGGAAGGAGGGAGGGAGGCAGAGGAGGGCGTCGAGGAACGGAGAGCATCGGGGGAGGCAAGGAGGGAGGACGCCGACGGGAGCGGGACGCCGACGCCGGCGGCGGGGAATACGTCGTCACCGGCGCCTGCGGCATCTGCATCGCGACCGGCTCCATGACGAAGCCTGCGCCGCCCCCCGCCGCAGCCAGGGAGAGGGGCGGAGACGGGGGGAGTTGAGGCCTCGGGCGTGCGTGCCCTGCGGCCTGCCTCAGAGGAGGGGGGGAGGGAGGAGGGGCCCCCGGGAGGGAGGAGGAACGACGACGACCACGACCACGACGACGACAGCGACGACGACGACGACGACGACGACGACGACGACGACGACGAGCCTGCACGCGGGCGGCTGGGGCGCGGGAGCAGCAGGCTTGGGAGGAGGCCGCGCGGCTGCGCTGTCACGCAGTCCACGAACTTGGGGCTCGATCGGGCGGGCGGTAATGGGGGGTGACCCAAATGGGTGCTGAAGAAAAAGGCTCTAAGGGACCCTTAGGGGCCTCTTTCGGAACCAGCTGGTGCCAAAAAGAGGCCCTAAAGGGCCTCCCCATTAGGGTCACCCCATTACCGCCCACCCGAGGGTTCGAGGTAGACACCAAGTCGTCATGTGAGCCGAAGATCTCCGTGCATAGAAGCCTCAACTTCCCAGCCTGTGGGATACCGGAGCGTCTATTCTCCGAACTCCTTCGCTGAACTCTCCAACTGCTTGGCCGACCAGAACAGCTTGGTGTACACATCGAGTCCCTTCGAGGAACAGGGCAGGCGATTGTGGCGAGAGCCACGCCTGTGCGAGTCCCCCGCGCGTATGAGCGGGGGAAGCGATACTTTTGCTCCCCCATGGGCGGACAGCGTCCTGAGGTCAGATTATACGGACCCCTGCCTCGTGTTGAGCAGGGGCCGACCGTCTCCGCACTCCGGTACACCGAAATGTTCTGAGAACCACAAAGTGGAACAAACATAATGATGTTCTAAGAACATTCCGTGCATAGGGGGAACGCAAACCTACCTCGCTTTTGACCACCCTCGCTTCCAAGAGATACCAAACGATGCCAAACTACGGCCTGTACTGGTCAGGCCGCTTGACGAGGAGGCGCGTGGTATGACTTGGTTTTGCCTGGAAGCGAAAGCGGGGTAGGTAATTCACGCTCTGAGTGCAGCGTGCAAGCCACGAAAGGTTCACAGAACATTCTTTGGTGGGCCTGCAGGCCAGGATGCTCCGCCATCGAGGCCACATGACGGCTCGGGGGGCCCCGACGATCTGGCGTGCGAGTTGAGAAAAGCTGCAGCCTGAGCTCCAGCTCTGCTGAGCGGGTTGCCGGTGTGGCTCTGCCAGGGAAAGGGGGAAGGAGGGGTGGATGTCTCCAATTGTTTTGCAGGTATGGGCTGGGGCCGCGACCGCGCGAGAAAATCGCGACATAGTGAGAATCGCGCCCAGAGCCCTGGGCCCCATCGTTCTGGGCCATTCGTCGAGCCAGATAGAAGCTGCGAGGGTGCCAGGGCCCAAAGCACGGCGAAAACACCTGAGCGCCAGGCTCACAGGGGCCCTCCGCCCCCCCCCTCCCCCCCGCCTCCTCCTGCCCCCCCTCCCAGCGCGCCAGGAGGCGCGACTGCCGCGCTGGCGCCCATGGCGGTCTGGTACTCGTACTGGGCGCGCGCGCGCGCGCGTCCGGGGCGACGACGAAGACGACGACGACGACGACAACGGACGACGGACGACGGACGACGGACGACAGAAGACAGCGACGACGACGACGACGACGACGACGACGACGACGACGACGACGACGGCGACGACACCCCGGCCGCCGCGGGCGCGGCGTGGCGGCCACGCACGAGTCTTCGCCGGGCCCCCACTCGGCGGCGCGCCAAGGAGGGAGAAGAGGCGGGGCGGGCCTTCTCAGAAGGCTGCGGGGGAACTATCGCTTTCGGCGGCGTCGGTGAGGGAGGGCGTCGAAAGGGAAGGGCACCGATAGGGAAGGGTGCCACTTCGACAGGGAAGGGCGCCGATGGGGAGGGGCGCGAATAGGGCACGGCGTAGACAGGGAAGGGCGCGCGCGCGCGTCGAGAGGGACGGGCGTCGATCGGGAAGGGCGGCGGCAGGGGAGACGAGGCTGGCCTTGTCAGGTGGCGGGAACGATCATGGTCGGCGGCGTCGAAAGGGAAGGGCATCAATAGGGAAGGGCGACGATAGCGAAGGGCGTCGATAGAGAAGGACGCCGTTAGAGGCGGGCACCGACAGGGAGGCGTCGACGGTTGAGGGCACGCGCGCGCAGTCGATAGGGAAGGGCGTCGATAGGGAAAAGCGGCGGCGGGAAGGACGGGGCAGGCCTTCTCGGAAGGCGGCGGGGCTCCTCGGGAGCACCAGGGGCCCTGAAAGACACCTGTGGTTTCGGAGGAGGCTCTGAAAGCTTCTCAGAAGGGCTGAGCCCACTGAAAAGGCTCGCCAGGGGGACGGGCTCGGGGGGGGAGGCACATCGAGCTGGGATCGGCAACGCATCACCGATAGATCGGAGATACAGTGGAGGCCAATCCACAAGAAACCCTCCACAAGAAACCCAACCCTGAGACCCCAGGGCGTCCATTGACTGTATGTGGTCAGGCAACGTCGCATTCTCAACCGCAAAACCATCGAAACCCAAGAAACCCTGGGCACCCTGGAGGGAAGCAGAGTGTCTCCTGGCAGGGGTCTCCACTGCAGACCTCGGATATAGCCTTAAGTCGGGCGTGTCCCCCTACGGGAGGATGTTCGACGAAAAATAACAAATACCCCAAACATAATCAAAACATACTCCAAAAATGGTCTGGGGACTATCTTTGGAGCATTGTTCCACCATTTTGGAGTATTTGTTAGGGGTATTTTGGATTGTTCCTCGAACATCCCCCTGTAGGGGGACAGATTTTTTGGACTCGCGGCTCGAGAGCGCACCTCTAACAAAGAGGGGGGACAGAAGGAGAGCGGCCTCATGGCAAGGCCAGAAGGAGGCCAGGGGGACACATCCGACTTAAATATAGCCACTGCGCACGCGCCTGGGCGGGGTGGGCCCCTGTCGGGGAGGATGGGGGCCCCGGTCGATGCCCGTCCCTCGGAGTCTGCGCCGCCGAAGAGGCGCCGCGGGGGCACGGCCATGCTGTCGTGCAGCGCCGATCTCGCAGAGGCCGAGCGCCACTGAGGTGGAGCGATAGGCGGTGGGATTGGTTTCCACCGCCGCTTGATTCGTCGACTTCGACACCGCCTGGTTCCGAGGCTTTGCCTCCTCCCGGCCTCGTTCTGAGGCTGCGCCCCCCTTCTCCTCCCTCTTCTCTGAGTAATTCAAGCTCTGCGCGGCCCGCTTAACTTCGACCAGAAGAGGTGCGCTCTCGACCCGCGAATCAAAATTGTTTTTCCACCGCCGCCACCAGAAGCAGGAGGGGCAGGGGGTCCTCCTCTTCCTCTTCTTCCTCCTCCTCACCCTCCACTTCCTTCCCCCCTCCGACTTATGGAGGCGGTGGTGGAAAGCGGGCCCATCAATAGGGGTGGACTGGCTTACGGGGGGAACATCGAGCTGAGATCGACGATACACCAGCGATGAGCCCCCGATGGCGAATCCGCACGCTCCTTGGCGGGGGGGGCATCGGGCCCCACATTGGCGGGGAATGGACGACTGGGGGTCGACGCTTTCCCCCCTGAACCTCTCTCCCCCCCACGTTGCCCCTCACGGGGGTGGTGAACGATCATTTTGATGTGCGGCGCTGATCTCGCACAGGCCGAGCGTTACTGAGGGGGAGCGATAGGGAGGGACCGAGATGGGGGGGGGGGGGGGAACATCGAGCTGAGATCGGCGATACATCACCGATAGATCAGCGACAGGCCCACGATGCCGAGTCCGAACGTTCCTGGGCGCGGAGGGGTATCTGGCCCGATGTAGGCAGGGCATGGGCGACTGAGGGGTCGGCGCATTCCCGCCTGAGGCTATCCCCCCCCCCTGACGTTGCCCCCGAGGAGGGGTGGGACCGATCAGTTTGACGTGAATCGCTGATCTCGCAGAGGATGGACTTTCCTGATGGGGGAGCGATACACGTCGGTCGGAAGAAGTAGGTAGAAACATGAAGTAGGAATGCGGATATAGTAGATTGGATCCAGGTCCCCCCAGAGAATTCGCTGGCCCAACGGGCTAGAGGCGTGCTAAGATCTCCGGTAACTGGTTAACAGTATTTCTAGTTCGCGCGCGCGGAGCGGCCCCTGGGGGCCCCCGGACGAAAAGTACAACGGCACGGTCCCGGGAGAAGCCACCAGAGCGCTCCAGGGGAGGGCCATTTTTCGACACTCCTTCGTGGCCTCCGAGAGGGGAGCCGCAATCGACTACTCCCCCTCCCGCCCCAAGAGGCCCCCAAAAGCCCCCCAAGAGGCCCTGGGGACCCCAAGACGCCGCCAAGGAGCCCTAAGAGACTCCCAAGAGATCCCCAAGAGGCCCCCAAGAGGCCCTAAAGAGGGCTCAAGGGCCGGCGGAATGAGCAAAGCGATTGCATAACAAAACACAGCAAAAGCATGTCGATTCTGGAAGTAGGAAGGCGCTTGAAGTAGATTGGGATCTGGGAGTCCAAAAAATACTTACTTTCAACGACCGGCGTGTAAGGGGGCAGGAGAACCCGGAATCGAAGCAATACATCGGGTCGGCAAAATCGAAATGCATCGGACCGGCGGAACTCGGCAGCCGCGTCGGGAATAAATCGAAACGGCAGGAATCGGTCGGCTAGTGCGCGTCCATTGACAAATCGGACTCCGAGCCGCGGAATCCGGAGTCGAATCGGATCGGAATCGGAAGCCATCGACATCGAATCGAATCGGATCGGGGGAATCGAGGCGAGCCCTGGGGGGGGGGGGGCTGGCTCAGAGGGGGGGGAACATCGAGCTGGGATCGGAGATGCATCGGCGTTAGGCCCCACATGGTAGATCCGCATCCCCTTGGGCGGGGGGGGGGGGCTGTCGGGCACCCCCCCCCCTCCCCCCATGGGCGAGGAGTGGGCGACCAGGGTCGATGCATTCCCCCCACCCCCCCACCTGAGCCTATCCCGCCCAACGCTGCTGTCGCGCGGCGCTGGTCTCGCAGAGGCCGAGCGTTATTGAGAGCTGGGCAAGGATGGGAACACCGAGACGAGCACGGGAGCACCCAGCTGGGATCGGCGCCACACTGGCGATAGGCCCCCGACGCTGAATCCGCACCGTCATGGGCGGGGTGTGGCATCGGGCCCACTATCGGCAAGGTCGAGGTCTGGGCGACTGAGGGGTCGACGCCTTCCCCGCTGAGCCGATCCCCCCAACGTTGCCCCGGAGGAGGGGGGAACCGGTTTGTTGTGCAGCGCTGCTCGCACAGAGGCCGAGCGATACTGGCCGGTTACAATCGGGGAGGGGGCCAGCTCAGAGGGGGGCATGGGGGGGGGACATCGAGCTGGGACCTGGCGTCCCGCACTACCGTTGCCCCTGAGGAGGGGGGGGTCGATCATTCTGTCGCGCATCGCTGATCTCGCAGAGGCCGAGCGCTACTGAGGTGGAGCGATCGGGGGTGGACTGGCTTACGAGGGGGGGCATCGAGCTGGGATCGGCGATGCATCGGCGACAAGCCCCCGCTGGCGCGGATCCGCACGCTCCTGGGCGGGGTGGGGGCCATCGCCCCCGCCCCGCCTGTCGGCGAGGAGTGGGGATCATTAGGGGGTCGATGCGTTGCCCCTCTGCGCCCATCCCCCCCCCTGCTGCTGCCCCCGAGACCGGGGGGGGGGGGGAACTAGCACTGACTGCCTGCCAGGCCACCCCAGCCCATCCCGAAGGCCCGAGCTTCGGGTTGGGGAGGGGGTGCGGGCTGCACATGTGTCGCTTCAGGGCTCCCCGACGCCCCTCCAGCGCTGGGAGTGGATGGCACACCCGGGCCTTCGGATCGGGCTGGGGGGTGGCCTGGCTGGCGGTGAGAAGCCGTCAGGCTGCCGCGCGGCCCCGATCTGGCAGGGGCCGAGCGCCGCGGGCGCGAGCGCCGTGGCGTGGCGCTCGCGAGACGGCATCGGCTCTGCGCCTCCGCTCCGCACGACGTCTAGAAGGCTGAGCGCTCCACGAGAGTCCCCTGCCACATGCTTGGAAGCCCGAAGTGGCCTCGGGAAAATGGGTTCGATGCCCAACGAAGGTTCAACAGCGACAGCGGCTGCTGCTGGGCAGGCGGCTTTGTCTTCAGTGTGCAACGTCCGCGGCGGCACGGACAGCGGATCCTGCTCAATACGGAATAGAACTACTGTTGGGCATCGTACCCACTCTTCCGTACCCGTTCCGATCGTCCCGAATAGGAAAAGAGCGATCGACAATTTCACATGAGGGGCGATGTGCGACACGCGGTTATCCTGGCGCCTTCGTGCAGCTACAAAATGAAGGCACGCTCGGCAACCCCAACAGCGACGCACGAGCGCCGTCACCTTCGGGCCTCGAAAGTTGACCAAGTCTCGAAGCGGGAGGGGCATCGATGGGGAACGTTGAGGGGATCGATGGGGGGGGGGCTCTGGCATGGAGGGGGATCAATGGCATAAGGGAGGGGGGGGAAGGTGGCAACGAAGGGGACAACACATGGGCGGCAGATGGGGAATGAGGGGACATGGGGGGAGGAGTGCAAGGTGGGCTCCCCCTGTTCATCCTCTCTCTCTTCCTTCCTCTCGCGCCCTCCCTCCAACCTCATTATCCTGCCTACGTCAATGCTCGTCCTAATCCCCTTCACTGTCCTCCTGTTCCGCCTCGTCATCCTCCTCCACCTCCCGGACCGTTCCTGCAAATCTGCCCGGCCCTTTGGGGGTTCCTCCTGGTTCTCCGCCTCCTCCTCTCCCGTCCCTTTTCAACCACACAGTCCTGATCCACGAACTCCCCCGAACTCCTCCGTCCCTTTCTGCAGGAATACCTGCTCCCCGTCGCACCACCAGACGTGTCGGTAGCGCAGGCCGGGCGTTCTGCCCGAGACTTCCACGCTGCTTATGACCGACTTCCCAACGCTTTCCAGGGCGGAGGGCGGGCCGCTTCCAGCATGAAGCTCCCGCCTTTAGCACCGCGCCCATTTGTCTTATAAGCTAGCAGGAGCTGCAAGGATGGAACGAGGTCGTTCTCATAATGGAATTCTCGATTTAGCGCCGCGCACATTCGCCTTAGAAAATTCGCAACAACAACAAGAATGGAGGGCTGTTCCTTTTCATGAACCCGGCGCGACCAGAATTAGGGGAAAGCTTCATATTGTATGGGCGCAGTGCGTGCCATTGCTTGGCGTTAGAACCCGACGAACCCGAGGAACCGAGGAACCTCCGAGCAACTGTCAAAGCAACCCCCCGTGGACTGGGGGCAGGGAGCCCGAGGAGCCCGAGAACCCACCAGGCAGCGGACAAAGCAGCCCCCCTAGGGCCCAACCGTTGACCGAGCAAGAACCCCTCAGGCAAGTCTCAGTGGGGATAAAGGGACTCTCGCCTTCGCGCTGCGCACACGTGGCTTGAACTTGGAGCAGCTTCGCAAGCCGAGGGCGGCCGTTTAGCAAATGGGACTCTCGCCTCGGCGCCGCGCGTCGCACATTCGTCCTGAAAACGTTGCCGCAGTTTCACTGGTGCAGGGCGGTGCCTGTTCAGAAGGCGGGGTCCCGCCTGAATGATGCGAACAGTCGTCCTACAAGCGTGCAGCAGCTGCAGGGATGATGGGCGTTTCTCTTCACAAAGTGGGGCCTGCACCCGATTTCAACATGGGGTCTCGCCCGAGACGACTTCCGCAACGCTCATCACCAGCATCGGTAACTCGTGCAAGGGTTACGTCCACAGATAGGGGGCGGCCCTTTTTCTCGGGAGCGGCCAAGAGGGGGGTGTCCAAGAGTGGGGGGTGCAAATCATGACCGGCGGCATGTGCGCGGCCCTGCGGGGGGGCCAGGGACGTAATGGAATAAGAAGAGGCGCCATGAAATCCGGGGAAATATCGTGGCCCCCGCCATGATATCCCCCCCCCCCCCCCCAGTCATCACCCCCCTCTTTTCCGCCCCCGAAGATAGGGGGCGGCCCTTTTTCGGGACGGGAACCTCGCTCGTCGCATGATCGTCCGATTGCCCGCTCCCGGTTGCTCGCCGAGGGGACGGAGGGGCGCAGGCTACTTTTCAGAGCGGGGCCCTCTCGCCTCAATGGCAGGCCCATCTTTTGTGCCAGTCGTGTGAAGGGGGCCTCTCGAAGTGGATGGGGAAGGCTCTTAAGGAAAGGCTTGAGGCACTCATGAGGAGGGACTCGTAACGAGAGGGTCTACTATAATAATAATAACAACAATAATAATAAATATTAATATTATGATTAATAATAATAATAATAATAATAATAATAATAATGGCAGCATATGTGATGCATCTTGGGGTTGGCTCTGGTCCTCCTCGTCCTCCCAGCCTTCAGGGATCGGCCCTGGGACATGCCGTGCCCCTCCCTCGAGAGATCCACCGAAAGGGGCGGTCCGACGGAGATCTCAAGAGGAACCCAGCCGTCGACACGAGGTCCAGAGGGACGAACAAAAACGGCCGCACACATGAGTCCTCCCTCGACCCTCGATCCTGTTCCTCCTTCTCCTTGCGGCTTCTCTCTCACCCCTCGCCCCCCGACCCTCTCTCGACAGTGTGCCCCAAGATTGGTCCGGGGTTGCGAGCTGACCAGAACATCTGGGTGGATCCAGTCGCGGACGCGAGGAGGCCCCACGAGTTACGAACAGGAGTGCCAAACACCTGAATCCTTGAACATCGATCCTCCTCCTCTTCAGACGCTTCAGACGCATCGATGGTGCAGCGAGCTCGCCACAGACACAAGGGCCTAAGCTCGGCTCAAGCTAACGCCAAGTGTGAGAGAGAGAGAGAAGAGAGACAAAAGGGAGAGAGCGAGAGAGAGAATGGGAGAGGACGCTAATCGATCCTCCTCCTCATCCTCCTCCTCCTCCACCACCCTGCTCGTCCACAAACTCTCAGGCGGAAGTTGACAGGGGGGAGGTCAGGGTGCAGGAGATTGCCCCTCCAGTGGCCCTCAAGGGTCCCCCCCCACGCCCTCCCCCCCGTTGACCTTCCGGCTGAATCTCGTCTCCCCTCCTCCAGGCGAGGTCGAGCGGCGGCGGATCGGCAGCATGGGGTCGAGCCTGGGCAGACATGGCCGCGACTGCGATGGGCGCTGGGGCGGTCCCCTGGACGCGAGACGCAGGGGGGGGGAGGGCGCCGTCGTCGTCGACGACGACGGCGCCGACATAGACGACTTGGAGTTCTCGCCCATTCCACGCCCTCCTGGGGCTCCCACGGATGGGCTCCCTGTGACGTTCTGGTCGGACGGAGCGCGTCCTGGGTGGGACGGGACCCTTGAATGACGCATGCGCTCTTGTTCATTCCTGTTTCGCTCCAGTTTCGTTCTAGTCTCGGCCTGGGACACGACTGAACAGAAACTGATACGAAAGCGGCACGATACTGGAACGAAACTGGAACGACAGGGAAACGAGACAGGAACGACACTGTAATGAAGCAGAAGCAAAACATGAACGAAACAGAGACGACGCCGGGACGAGACTGGGAAGACCCTGGAACGAGACTGCAACGAATCTCGAACGCCCGTCCCCCGTCGGGAGGTGATCGGCGGCGAGCCCCAAGGGGGAGCGAGAAGGGGCGGGGCTGCAAAGAGGACTCGAAAGTCCCCTGGCCCTTCGGCGAGTGTCCTTCAAGACTTCCCCCCGAGGACACGGACAGCTTCTCAAGGGCGCGAGGGCTTCTGAGAAGCCCTGGCGCCTTCTGAGAAGGCCTCCTCCCTCTCGCTCCCCCCCCGTAGCTCGCCGCAGACAGGCGGATACGCGTCGAGGGTGTTCACACCGTCCAGAACGGCCCGAGAAACCCCCCAGGTCTCCAGGTAGTCCCAAGAGATCTCCGAGACGGCCCCAGAACCGCCCGAGAAGGGCCCAAGAGAGAAAGAGAGAAAGAGAGAGAGATGCCTATTCGACAATTCTCGCCACCCGCCACAAGACGCCTCCAGGAGGCCCCCAAGAGGCCCCGGGAAGCCGCGAGCTGGCCCCTCGGAAGCAGACGAAAGACATGGCATACGCCTCAGAAGGCTCCAGCACGGCACCCAGGACGTCGCGAAACGGCATCCAAGAGACCCCCGACAGGCCTCCCACAGTTTCCCGACGAGCCTCCTTAGACGTGTGACCCACAACCCCAGCGCGGTGACTGGATGGGCCGTGGGCCAGCGCACCAGCCTGCTCCATTGATCTCGCCATGCAGCGTACGGCGACTGCCCTTCTGAAGAGCTTTGGTTATTCGGAAGACCTCTTTTTTTCAGGTCTCCACAAATTATTGAGCTCCGATGTCCTGCCACGGTCTCGCGGGCATCTCTCGAGGTGTGAGAGGGCACGTAACCTAGCACGCCACCACGAACGAAGCAGATGGGGTCGGTGGATGCGGCGTAAACCTATAGAACAGACCCGCCGCGGAGGTGGTCCCGGGTCGGACACCACGCAGTGAAGACCGCCTCTCCAAGAGGAGGCGCATGGGAATGAGGGGAGCAAAGCAAAAGCCTCCGACGTCCCCCACAAGCCAGGACGGGCATTGCTCTCAGATCCCGCCACCTGGTTACCGTGCACGGCCCCTGGGGTGCACAACAGCTGCGCGCAGCGCGCAGCAATCAAGAGATGTCGAAACTCTCCTGCCTGAACACACCCTGGGGGGGGGGCCGCGCTGGCGGCGAAGGCTGGTAGTGGCACAAGCCTGAAGACACATGCTCTCGAGCTGCAATCCGTAGCCCTGTGTCTGCTCGAATTCTTTCATCATCTGAATCTGGAACTTCTCAGCGGCCTACTTGTGCGCAAGGGGGGGGGTCATAATCACCGTCTCCTCCTGGGAATACTAACCAACAGCCGCAGAAACATCATTTCCCGGAGATCCTCGCGGACCGTCGAGAAGTTACGGCTATGACGTGTTGTCTGCCTTGAGCTGCCCCGCGTTGTAGCCGCCCTGTCCCACTTTCGACAGCCTGGACTGACCGTGTCCACCAGGTCGTGCACCAGTTTCCAGTGCCTGAGGCCTCCCGCGCGCTCACAACCCGCCGACTCTCGTCGGTTCGGGCCTCCCTCCTCCCTCTGCCTCCGCGGCCGTTCTCTTCTTTCCCGCCCGCTTCACTGTGCCCAGCCGGCCAGCTCTGCAGACGCGCTTCTTGCGACCGCCAGCGCTGCTGGCAAAACAAATGTTCTTCTTCGACCTCCTCCTCCTCCACGTTGTCCTCCACGCCGTTCCTCTTTTCTCCTCATCCCACCTGCTTCATCCTCATGGCGGAAGGGGAGATGGTGAAGGAGGAGGCAGGTGATCGAGGAGAACGAAGACGACGATCTCCCGACCGGTCCTGCGGCGCGTCTGGGGTATCGCTTCGCGGCGGATCTGGCCGTGGACACGAAACCCCCATGGTGCACAATCCTCCGACAGCTGATGCTGGCCTCCGGAGACGCCGGCGACTTTGCGTTCATCCGAGGCCTCCTACACGTGGCCAGGATAAGTGAGGTCGGAAGATGGCGCCGCATCGGCGACGCATCGGGGATACACTGGCGATGCATCGTCGAGGTCGGCGATGCATCGGCGACGTCGGCGTGAAGCAATGCTGGCTCCACATTGAGCCGCAGCGGCCATGCATCGGCGGTGCGGCGAGATCCTCCGATCCCATCTGCTCGGACCCCATCCAGGAGGTCTAGACTGGGTTTGCTTCGTCGGCGGCGAGGCGGAGGCGGTCCGCTCCAACGTGTGGCAACTCGGGGCAACCGAATGGCAAATTGGCCAGCATGCAAGAGAGGGAAAGCGAGACAGACAGGGCGGCCGCGGAGGACAGGGGGAGGCGGAGGTCTAGATTGGACGGGTGAGGACCTCCACGCCACCACCTGGGGGGGCGGACTGGCCACGCCGAACGACCTGCCCCCCCCAGGTCTGGGACGGGTGCCGCCTCCTTCGGGGCTCGGGGTGCCCACCCCTGGCACGGAGGCGGAACACGCATGCATGTTGTCCAAACTCGGGGTTGGGATGGGCATAGCGGCACGGCGATGCCGACTTGAAGGGAAGGGGGACCCCTGAGGGAAGCGGGTCCACCAGCGTTTCTTCTTCGGACAGGGCGAAGAAGTGGATACGATGCCAACCGACAGCGGCCGTTGTTGGGCAGGCAGCCTCCTATCTCAAATGGACAGCGTCCGCGGCGGCGCGGACAGCGAATCCTGCTGAACATGAACTGGGTCTGCTGTTGGGCATCGTGCCACCTCTGTAACCATTTCGTTCGTGCCGAGTTCCATCCCGGGCTGTTCCGGGCGGCCTCGGGGGCCGTGGAGGGCCCTCCGTAGGGCCCCAAAACGGCCAAAGACCTCGAACACCCCTTCCAAGACACCCGCCGGTATGATCTTGTTTCATCCGCAGCCCTAAAGGAGGTCACGAATTGTGAACTTGTGCCTTAGAGGGGGGAGGGTGGGAGGAGGAGGAGGAGGAGGAAGAGGAGGAGGAGGAGAAACAATGACAAACAAGAACAAAACTCCAAGGTCCGCGCGGGCTCATCGGATCGGCGCTGGAACCCCCTCCCTGGCGCGCGGGGCGCGCCAGGGGCAGCGCTGGAGGCGCCACCAGGGGTTCCGATCCGAGGAATTCGCGCAAATCTCCGGGTTTGATACGTTATGTCACCGTTTTTGTTCCCTGGTCGTCGTCCCGGATCCATCCTCGGTGGCCCTGCGGGCCCGATGGCGGCTCCCGAAGGCCGAGGTCGAGGAAGATGTCCTCGGACATATCTATATATATATATATATATACAAGATTTTAAGGCTCGCTGCGCTTCGCCTTCTAATCTTGATCCTTGCACCTACGATGTTTCTGGGCGCGGGCGAGAACACAATTGTTCAATGAGGTGTGTGGGAATTGTGCGAGCGGAGGCGAGGCGAGGCGAGTGCGCGGTAGCGCCCGGGGCGGGGCTCAGGGCGCAGAGTTGGTGGACGCTGGAGTGGAGGTGAAGGTGGAAAGTCGGATGCCGGACGCTAGAGGTCGGAGTGCTGAGCTGATGGAGGCTGGAAGTCTATAGGTGGAAGTCCCACCAGCCCTTTAGGGCTACGGTGGTATAACGAGTTTGGTCTTCTCTCTTCCCCTTCCTTCCCCTGCTCGGGGGAGGGGTAACCTTCCCCTGGACCTGGAGGGGGGGGGGGATGGAGGCGTTAGAGCGTCCAAGATGGCTCAAGATGGCTCCAAGAGGCGCTCCAAGTCGCAAGATGGCCTCCAAGATGGCCCAAGATACCTCAAGATGGGTCAAGATAGCCTCCGACACACCTCCAAGAGTCCTCAAGACGGATCCACGTGCCCTTCGAGCCCTCCACGGCGCCCTCCAAGAAGCCAAAACCCTTCAAAAGCCTAAGGAAAGTCAATGTGTTTGGCATTCTCGTCTTTTCGCTTCCGATGGGCCCCTGAGGCATCAAGATGGCCCCAAGATGGCCCAAGAGAGCCCCAAGAGGGGCCCAAGAAGGCCCAAGACGGCCCCAAGATCGCCCAAGAGGCTTCCAAAGAGCGCTCCAACACGTCCCCAAGACGCCGTTTGAGAGCCTCCGAGGGGGGGACCTGAACTGAGGACCCCCGCTCTTTTTGAACAATGGGGCCCAAGACGGGCCCGAGAGGCCTCCCAGCCTCTCCTGAAGATTCTCCACCCCGCCCTTTTTGGCCCAAGATGGCTCCAAGAGAGCCCTAGATAGCCCAAGATGGCCTCCAAAATGGCCCAAGATAGCCAAGCATGGCTCAAGATAGAGCCTCCGACAGATCTCCAAGAGGCCTCAAGACAGCCTGAATATGGCCCAACATAGCCGAGCATGGCTCAGAATAGCTTCCGACAGCCTCTAGCCGAGCATGGCTCAGGATAGCCTCCAAGAGGCCTCGGGAAAGCTGGCAATCAATTCTGGACGGGCCGGTGGGGATATGATCACGGTGTACATATGCCCATCCCAAGAATGGGAGATCTACGCACTTCGAGCCAACGCGTCGGAGTGTACTGAAAATGAAGCAACATGGTGGAGGGGAAGCGGGAGAAGGGGAGGATGTGGAGGACGAGGTGAGAGGAGCTTGAAGGAAAACTGAGCATCCTATTTTAGTTCCCGGGCTCTCTGAAGGAAGAGTATAAGAAGTCGGTGAGGGGGGAGAGAGGAGAGGAGGA